TATCAAGTCACATCAGACTGAGCAGGATCCATTCTTTAAGTAATAAATATGATTTATTATATTACTGAAGAATCACCAAACAAGCAATGAAATGTTTCATAGCATGTCCCATGCTAGTAGGTCACAATGCAAATCATAGGGGACAAAATATGAGAAAAATCCCCTTTTTACCTCAGAAAAATCCATCTTCTTTTTAATATATCTGCTATTGCAACCTCGTGAGTATAACAACATTGACAGCAATGAACAATGACCTCACTAAAGCCCTGCTATCCTCATGTGCCACTAACACCACATAACAGTATTTGCCTACAAAAGCAGAGTAACATCCCTGAAATGCCACACATGAATCATAGAGCCTATGATTATTTTACTTCAGGCCTGTTCTTTCCTTTGCACTATGCTTCACTGTGCTGCAACAATATCAAGACTAAAGCCACATTAGCAGTTCTGTAAAGCTTTACTACAACAGTGTCTAAGTCTTTAAGTGCTAACGTCAGCATGACAACATGCTTACAATGACAATGTTAACATGCTAATGGTTAACAGGTAATGTTCATCATGTTCTCTGTCTTAGTTTAGTGTGTTAGCATGCCAACTTTTGCTAATTCGTGTGATGGGAATGCCATTAGTTTTGAAGGTACTTGTTCATGAACTTAAAATATTGGACAACTTAAAGTGGTGACCTGATGGTGGCGCTAAAGGAAGTCATGATATCACCAAAGCTATTATATGTCATCCAGTGGGGAGCTTTAATGTCTGTACCAAATGTCATTGCAATACAACAGTTGTCAAAACATTTCACTATAAAAAGAAAAAGGCCAAGCCAGGCAGAGGATTGCCAAAGCGATTGGGATACATTGTCTGGGAACCATGAATAACTGATCCAAATTTTATGGCTGTCAGTGAGGTAGATGTAGAGACATTTCACTGGATTACTGAAAACGGACATTTCAAATAAACCCAATGTCAACCTTGTCTTGCCACTGGAGTAAAAGTCCCAGGATCAACCAACCAACCAACCAACCAACCAACCGACATCCTGCTGCGAGTGTTGCTAAAAATTGTGACCATACTACCATACTGCCATAGGACCATGTGGGACTTATAATGGACTGACTGTCCCTTTAGTCATAAGCAGAAATTCTATTTGCACACAAATGAGAAACAGCCTGAACTAAGAATACCCCAAATACTATTCTTTTTATCTGTTTTGTACTTGATAAAGTTGTTTGATTCAGACATACAATGGGTGGAAGTCTACCTTTTATATCCACAGATAACAAAAATGTCACACAGAAGGGCTGAGGCGATAATAAGTGGTTATAAGTCAAGATAACAAATCACTCACACAAAGGAAAAAACACAATTATCTTGATCTACCCTGCACATACCAAGCAGTCAACAGGGCACCGATTCTGTTTTTATGGCAGCATGTGTGATCTTCACCCAGCATTTATACTCACAGCGATAATAATCAAATTACCTTCTCATCATCTTCAGTGAAGAGTGCCCCACTTGAAGACTTGTTGATGGCCTGAGCAACTCCAATGATCTCTCCATCACTGTTGCGAATGGGCATGCACAAGAGCGACTTGGTTTTGTACCCTGTCAGCTTGTCAATTTCATCACTGAACCGACGATCCTGCAATCCATAGGGACAGTACAAGATAAAGACACAATGTAAGCACTTATTGCAACAATGCCGTTTTCCCTTTTACTTTCAGATGACAGTGCAGTAAAATGTACAACTCATCAGGACATTTCTTACAAACAAGAAAGTATTCAATAAAGGCAATATGATGGACAACAGCATAATTACAGAACTGCTCTGTAAAAGCCAGGAAAAATGTTTGACTTGAAGAAGCAGTGGTCAGATGGTTGCTGTGTTTGAACATTAAAGTAATTTAACTCTTTATTACTTTTATCTATATAAGCAAGAAGAGTTCTGCTCAGACATTTCTTCCACATTGAAAAGGGCCACTATTAGCATTAAGCCATTTGGTGTCCTTGCAGCTTTAGTGTAGTCTAGTATTCTCTTATTTTTTTAAAATGAAGGCAAACACAGTGGAACTGATGTGTAGTGTGAATCTGTGGTGTGACACAAGCTTTGTCCAGCTGACTGTTGGTGTTGGTTTCCGTGCTCTCTCAGCTCTGTTACACAGTCTGATTGATGATCAATTAACTGTGACGGATAAAATGACAGACTGAAAGAAAATGATCTGTCTCCCTGTCTGACTCTCTCTCTCTCTCATTTCTGTGACGCATGCATGCACAAAGAGGAGCAGGCACCTGATAAGCGTCAGGAATGTTCACTGTCTCTCCGTGTTCAGCCACATATCCAATGATTCCTTTCCCCCATGGCACTTGAACTTCATCTGAATTCATTGAGGGTAAAACTGTGGTACCTGCGTGCACATCAAAGAATTTGGACACTAGTGTCTTCTTGTTGCCCGTCCCCTCCACCAAAAACAAGGAGCACCGGTCTGCATCGACCATAATACAAACAAACACAAGGATTTTGTAGCTGAGACTCGTTAGATCCAAGTCGTTAGATATGTCTTTTACAAGCTCCAGGAAAAACTCTCTTTCGTTGTGTTCTTTGAGGTAATATTTAAAATCCACGGCTGTGGACGGGTACTGGGGGATGTTGACTCTGGACTCCAGCAGTGCGCTCAGTATGTGCGCAGTGGTCGGGGGTAGAGAGCTCGCTTTCCTCAGCAGAGCTCTCCTTCTCATGCTCGTTAGGGGCTCCTGGGCCCTGGAATTAACATGTTCGTCGTATGTCCTGTTGACATTGATGGCCTTTGATCTGGCGAAAGTTTTGCGCAGCTCCTTCTGCGAGGCTCTCCTTTGCAGACCATCACATTTGCTTGCCCAGCTGTCCTTGCACGCGTTGCTCTTCTCCTCTCTCGGCTCGGCGGGAGCTGCAGCCGCCGGACTTTTGCTCGCCTGGTGATTCTTTAGCCATTTCTCCACCATGCTAAAATTCCCCTTTCTGTTCAGGTAGTCCTCGAATAACTCGGGATGCGAGTCCAGAAAACTTTCCACGTCAGAGAACACCATATTTGGCACTGCCATGTCTGTTCTTCATATGGTCCTCAGTGAACCAAATCCATGAAGTCGCGCAGAGAAATATCATCTATGTTGCTTTACTGAGGGTTAAAGTGGAGAATCATTAGAATACCATAACTTCCAAGGTGCATGATACAGGAAACACCCCTGGAGCTCTGGCTACATATCCAGTTTCCACTCTGTGGGGAGAAGGATGGAGACTCCCTTTGCGCACCAGCGTATTCCTCCACAGCATCTCCACTCCGTTCACTTAATTTGAAACCATTAAAAGCAGATCTAAGCAAAACTGCGTGGAAGCAAAGTGGGGCTCGCGTAGACCATCACTGGCATTGGAAATCTCACCGAGAGCCACTACCGAGGCATCACCGTCGTGTGGGTCTTCTTGTGTGCAAATGACGCTGGCTGTGGTTGGCTCGGTCCCGCTGACGCTCACCTCGTCACACAGGCAGGAGCTCCGGGTTGCTTCAGCAGTCAGTCCTCTGGCCATTTGAACCGCTTGCCCCCCTTACGAGAGGCGCTCTCAGTATGATGATAATGAGGATGGTGATAATTTGGATAAATTAATCTATCATCTCAGCATGCATAATATATGATGCATATAGTAAACTATACGGTATAGTAAGATGTAGAAAATAAAATGGTGGATGTTTGCCCATTGATTACCATTACTTTTACAATAATTCACTGCTATATTCTATATTTTTAAGGCCACTGTAGAGCAAAGGATCCCCATGTGGGTGGATTATGCTATAATGTAATTATGCTTCAGTATAGAGTCTGACATAAAGGATTCCTATGCATTCCCAGACATGGCTTTGGTGGTGGTACAGCTGGGTGACATGTGTAATCAAAGTGAATGACTGTCGCCTGAAGAAAAATGTTTCTTAGCATATATAACGGATAATGCAACTCGACAATATATCTGTTTCACAACCCCCAAACTTTGGCAAATGTGGATCCTGCAGTGGTTGGTCTATACAATGTAGGCTAATTATGTAACAGCGACTTTTATTGGCATAAGGATGTCATAAAATCAAATTCCTTTATACAATGTTATTAGTGAATATGTGTGTAGATGTGGTATTTGAACACTAGAGGGAGTTATACTCCACAACTTAGACTGGGAACATGAGCTATACAGGAGAACTGGATCGGAAGGTCTTAGCTCTTGTCTGCTTTCATGGACACTCCTTGGTCTCTTTAAACTGAAACTTAAACTAGTATCTTCACCAGAACATTAAAAAAAAAAGAGTAAATAATCATAACAAGGACTTTGATTAAGGGAAGCTTTGATATTTACTACTAGCTCATAAAACCAGGCTTTTGTCAACATGCAGTGACCCAACAAATGCACAAACGTTAACTATCAGCCAGTCAGCATGTGTATACCAGCAGAGTCTAGAACAACCTAGAAGATGTACCAGCATTACTCGTTAAAGCTACACATTTCAAGTCACATAATGTAAACTAGCTCTTCTGAAAAGAACCAAGTGTATGTATGCATGTATGTCACATGGCACACATAAAACCAGCATTTTGCCACACATAAGCTACTCCTAATGAAGAGGCACTGATCGTATAGCCTGTGAACCAGAGGAATCTGCTGAACTTCTGTTTCATATGCAAATTAGTCTGGCGATACTTACATGGATGTACTACAAGAGGCACAAAACTGACCAAAAACATATTCATCCACTGCCACTTGGTGGGAAAAATTCAAGACCTGCACACATGCTGTGGCATATATCAAAAAGTAGATTACGTCACTTTTATTTTTTAGTTTATATATGCACAAGCCAAAGCTGTTGAAACAAGATTATAATCATAGCCTGACATGATCACCCACACGCAGTATTTAGTCATAAGAAACTCAATAGTAGCCACATATCGACTTCCAGGTAAATAGTCAAACAAATTACAAAAAATTACATTTAGTGTCAGTTTTATTTAACTTCAGTTTGAAAAAATTACATAATAAAAGACTGTCGAGGTATCATCAAATCGGAAGCAGAAAAGGCATTTTCATTCTTGGAACAATTATTAAGACAACCAAGACACTTTGGAGAAACACAAATCTGGATGATACTAAGGCAACATAATCACAGCTTTCAGTCCTGACATGCTAAATACACAGTATATGGGGTTTATAATTTATTTTAGAAAAGTAACCTGTTAAAACCAGGGTATATCACTTATGCTACCACAAAAGGAGCATCATATCAGAAACAGATTTACAGCTGTGACATTTTAACACCACTCAGATTGCTTCTCCTCCTGCACTATTTTGAAAGAAAGTCCTGGTCTCTTGTTTGACATGAAAATTGGAAGAAGATATGCTGAATGAAGATTTTCTTTATGAAGTTGCAGACTTAAGATATGCTATAAGGTCAGCTCGTTCATTCTTCTTTTTGATGCCAGCGAAGATCATCTTTGTTCCCGGAATGTATTTCTTGGGGTTCTCCAAATAAACCATCAGTGTGTCTTCATTCCAAATGATGCCTGGAGTTAAAGTGAGCAAGAAACAGTGGAGAATGATGTTTAAGCAATACATCATGACTGAGAGGACTGTTCAGATACTGTAAATACACATGTACAATATTTACCTTTGCTTTTGTTGGCATCAGTGTAGGAGAAGCCCTCTGCCTGGCCTGTTTTGCGTCCAAACAGACCCCACAAGTTGGGCCCGACCTTATGTTTTCCACCCTGCTCCACAGTATGGCACTGGGCACACTTCTGGACGAATGCCTTCTTGCCTTTGTTAATGTCAACTGGCATGGTGTCTCTGAAGAAAAAAAAACAACTTTATTAGCTCTTACTTGCTGTCTATAATTACTGACTTACTCCCATTGTACAACTATATTTGGTCTTTTTCCCACAGGCCGCTTACAAAAGACATTCAACCACAAGGGGGCGTTATAAGTTGCACAACTGCCATTGTTACAAAACGAAGTTAAGTAACATAAATTATATGAAAACACATAACTTTACTCAAAGATCCTGTGGCTAAACACAAACAGCACCTATATAAGTTTTTCCGTCATATGATGGATTACGGTCTGTTATACGGTATGTTAGACCGGCCTAATGTAAAAAAGAATTATGTTAAATCAATATTAGGTAAAAGTCTATGTGCGATATATATAGAAAAGGCATCGACTGTAAGTTAATGGAGACATTTTTACAGTGAACAAGTGACTATGCTCATTAGATAATAAGTAACTGAGTATTCTTCGGAAAGAGGAACACCGGGCGGCAGCAGACCACGTTACTCGTGAAAGAAACCGGTACATACAGATTTAAGTCTTATGAAGAGATATTACACCAGAAACAACCATCAGAAAAGCTTCATATTAAGATAATGAACGTCTTACCTTTTCTTGATATGTATTCAACCAACTTTTCTTTTTCAATTCCTGAACTTTTGTCCTCCAGCTGTCTCAGCCAAAAGCGACTCACAAATGTGCTTCCTCCTCGTGAGGTACTCCCGTTTGAAACGTCATCAGTCAGCTGACCTGTTTCATCACCCTCGGTTACAACTGAGTTGATCAATGACTTCTGTTATCATATTTGCGCAATGTACACGCTTCACACACGCACGGAGTCACTGCTTCTTTACCATTACCTACTATTTAAAAAAAAATTTAAGAAAAAGGTTGCTTTCACCTAAAGCATATTTAATAATATCAAGGTCTTTTTGGACATGAAGGGTTGTAAGACAGAGGAAAAGCTAAAATTGGAGCATGTCAGAGTTCAAGTTAGGCAAGACAGGCGTGAAATCTAATATCCAGACGTTTCTGAGACAGACAGAGACAGATGAGAAGAGTTTTATGGTACACTTTCCTAACTGCCTGTCAAGTTTTTGTACATCAAATATTCTCCATAAACCCTGTGTGTGAAAATACTTCTGTATTTAAGATATTCTCCATAAACTCCACTGTGTATGAAAATACTTCTGTATATAAGATATTCTCCATAAACTCCACTGTGTGTGAAAATACTTCTGTATATAAGATATTCTCCATAAACTTCACTGTGTGTGAAAATACTTCTGTATATAAGATATTCTCCATAAACTCCACTGTGTGTGAAAATACTTCTGTATATAAGATATTCTCCATAAACTCCACTGTGTATGAAAATACTTCTGTATATAAGATATTCTCCATAAACTCCACTGTGTGTGAAAATACTGCTGTATGTAAGATATTCTCCATAAACTCCACTGTGTGTGAAAATACTGCTGTATATAAGATATTCTCCATAAACTCCACTGTGTGTGAAAATACTGCTGTATGTAAGATATTCTCCATAAACTCCACTGTGTGTGAAAGTATATAAGATATTCTCCATAAACCCACTGTGTGTAAAAACGTATGTAAGATATTCTCCATAAACTCCACTGTGTGTGATAAGCCCACTGCACTAACCAAGCCCTTCAAACATTTAATCAGCAGGCCAGACAAGTAGCCATTTTTAGTTTTCACAATGGAAATGTTAATACATTTGTAACAATTTTGACATGTTATAATAGCCTACATATTACACATTACATGTGGCCCTTAAACATTTTGTTCAAGTAACGTTAGGTTTACTGCTGTAAGTTAACGTTAGTAAAGTATAAATTGGTATGCCACTAGGCCTATTTACGTCGACCTTGCAGCCTAATGAAACGTTAACGGTTGTTGACATAAAAACACCGGTTACACACTTATTTACTAACTTGTTTGACTTACTCCCCCTTTTATTTATTTGTTTAACTCTCTCTCTCGTTTGATTTGTTTTGGGGGGACGCACTGGGTAACGTTAACGAACACGTCTCCCGACTCATCGCGAGATTTGGATGCAGCGAAGTCTCCCGTTTGTACCGTTAACTAAACTAATGGGTTTTCTTGAGGTTTCTTTCATCGGTCTTCCTGAAAAGCCGAAACATTTCCCCAAAGGGTTTCATCACAATTGTGGTGGAGTAGAAAGTATTAGGTGTCGCAAATTGTAAATTCTCAAGTAAAGTAGCTTCAAAATGGTACTTTACCACGTAACTGTACAGTATCCAGTAAGTGAAAACTGCCCGTTAACTACAAGGATGGGTTGGTGAGAGCCGTTGCCAAGCAACCAGTCTAGGTAACGTTCGACTAAGTAAAATAAAACTGTAACGTAAAAGTTGCTAAAATGTCCAGAACTGGGTGGTGGTTTCTTTTATTCAAAGTACAGGAAACATTTATGTTCACTTAAATAAATATTAAAATAGAAAATAATATGCCTACAGTGGCACTCTTGCCCTATGTTTGACCTCAGAGTTACTCCGTTACGCATGGAGTGCTCAGTTCCCGCTGGGTACTCCATGATTTCATTTATTTTTCTACCAAGCGGCGGTCTAATAAGCACAATACCTTAAAGGGCTGTGTCTGGTGCTCTTATAATTGGCTAGTCCGAGTCCAACTCCATTGCCGCGTTTTGTGACCACCCACCGTCTGTCCGCCAAGCGTTTGATCCACTCCTGCGATTTCTTCCCGCTCAAAGCCGATCTTGCTGCAGGGAGGAGCGACCGGAGTGCAGTTGAGCTGAGCCGAGCAGAGCATCACAGACCCGCATTCAAGGAAACGGACAAACACTTTTCATCTTGCATTTTTTTCGGGGGGCGACTTTTCCACAATTTCCACACAGCACACGGCTTTAATACGAAGAAATAGATACATATATTCGATGTGGACTCTTACGGAAGAGCTTTGAGAAGCTGGGAATCTCTGCCCTGTCAAGGGAGACCCCCCCAATTGTTTCCTGCGCCAAGAACTGTAAAGACATGGTCATTACACCGCATATGTGGTAAGGCAATACGCTTTCTCTCTCTCTCTCTCTCTCTCTCTCTCTCTCTCTCTCTCTGTCAGGGCAAAACCTCAGTGCCAGTCTTGCGTATAGAGGGACATATTGACATGTTGAATTAAGGTGTACAGCGCTGGCGTCTCATCAGCATCTCATCCTTTTTTTTTTTTTTTTGTATTTGCATCCCGAGTGAATCGCCGAGGACCAGTCAGACATTACCACCTAGCCACCGCTGATTTAGCTTAGCTGCTGCTACTCTGACACACGGATGGAGATGACACCTCCGACCACGTCTTAAAAACATGCATGTCCCACACAACATCACGGGGGGGCATTATCGTGCAGCTAGGAACCCCCCCCCACTAAAACATGGATGCTGGTAGTGGAGTAATAAGACAGCCAGGCAGCCAACTCTGTAACAGACTTTGATGATGTAAACGTAATGCGTCACTGACATTTTCACCTTTTTTTTTCTTTAACTGAGCTTCATGGCTTCTCCCCCCCCCCCATTAGACAACACTCCCCCCCCCACACACACACACACACACACACACACACACACACATTAAAGTGTTATCGATGAACGTGATGTCCCCAAGTATAATCGTTTATATTCCACTCACGGTGTCCAAATGGGAACTAATTGAAAGTTAGCCAACTTCTGTCACTTACAGGATTGCTCCACAATATCACCCTGCCTCCTTTTTGTTCAACTGAAGGTCAGCCAGTGACTTTGCAGTTGTTTAAAATAACCCCCCCTCCCCAGAAATCACATAAATTAAAGAACAGCAGAAGGGACTGGGAAAGCTCGATGCATATGTAGTTTGTCACTGGTGCGCTTTTCTTGCAATAGATGCTTTGATCAGCAGTGATGATTGATTTTCTGATATATTTCTTGGCTGAAGAGAGCTGAAGAGCCCTCTAGCTGAAGGTGTCCCTGTCCCATTTAGATGAAATCTTTGCACAGAGCTTTTGTGCTTTATCCTTTTATAGAGGGAGAAGGGGGATAAAGCAGAGGCCAACCTCTCTTTGATGCTCAAAATATTGGATTCAGATAGTCTTTTTTTTTTTTTGGCCACATGACATTGTCAGTAAGGACTAAAGCTGATAATCACTCCTTCTGACTCATTCAATTAGCCGACACATTCGAGTACCAAAGTCCATTACAAATTAAAGCAGTTGCCAGACTAATATATGGTTTTCAGGCCCATGACTCATGTAGCTGTCCTTTTTGTTTGCCTTTATGATTTGCTCTCACCAGTACGCCACTTATTTATTCTCTGTTATTAGCCTAATTAGTTTTTTGGTTCTTTTATTTTATTTTCTGGAAATATAGGGCTTGGTATCATTCAACATTTACAGACACCTACGTGATACCTGATTTTTGGTTCCAGTGCCAACGTGATACTTTCTGTTACACCCTAAAGGAGCTGTGTGTAGGATTCAGTGGCGTCTATGTTTTTTAGTAGAAACTATGGCAGAAAAACACAAACTCCCCTCTCTAGAGCCAGCGTTTGGTTTGCCCCTACTGTGCTACTGTAGGAACATGGTGGTTCAACATAGCGGACTCCATCTACATATAAAAGGCTCATTCTTATATAACAAAAACACAACAATTCCTATTTTTAGGTGACAAAAACACAGTTATGCATATTTTTTTATTCAATTTTTGGCCCATATATCCTCGTAAATGTTACGTACTGGACCTTTAATTCTGTATAAACAGGTTTTTACCACTTAACAAAGTAAACCAAACATCTACAATGCACTGATGTTGTCCTGACAACAAAAAAACTGTAGAGGGACTAAAAAAGATACAGTATAAAGTCAACAAATTATGGTTTGCACCAGGCAACAACTGACTGAACAAGGATTCGGTGCCAACTTTCAGCTCTTCAACAGTTCCCAATATGGGCACAAGTCAGTACTTCAAAAGTATTGCAGTGGGATTCCCAGCTCTACCTAGATGATGTAATTTGTGCAGCGTAGGATAAACTGGCTCTTTCCAGTTAGTGTTGTTAAAAAAAAAAGGGGGAGGCCTACTTTAAAGAGATGTGCTGCTCAGTGCTTCCAAATGGCACGCAAGATCTACACCTGTTTAGCCTGCTATTGTACTCCCAGGTAAATGGTCAAAACACTGCTGTGTTGATCAATATGCATTATTAGCCAGTTGTAAATTCAGACAATAGTTGTCCTTGAAGACCCTGTAATATAATCTTAGGACTTGAGTCTGCTTTTGTTGGTCCGCTTTAATTATGCAACAGAGAGGGGAGATCAGCAAACTTGGTTCGCTGTAGAGTGCTGGTCGATAATGTGATATTGTGGGTGGCTTGGATGTGGTGACAACACAAACATGAATGTCTTTCCACCCCCATTAAGGCCCAGTTACCACCCTGCTTCATCATATTACATGTTTGTGATGAGTGAGGCCATTAACATTTGTGTGGCTTAACGTTAATGTGCACTAAGAGCGGCAAAACATCCAAATACGCAGTGGAAAGTGATCTACTATTGTTATTATTGTTCATTGGTTTGTTTTGGCTTTGGGTCTTGCAGCACTGCTTGACATATTGGGTGTCTAAGTCTTAAGTTTATTTTCTTCATCCCTCTCAGATCTCTCAGAGCAGGGCACACAGATAGTGGGATTACTGCGCTCCTCTAAACCTCTCCAGACAGCTCTGCATTGCTCTTCCTGGCTTGACCCACGTCATGACAGATGATAGTCACTGCTTCATTCGTGATACTCTATTGATCCCTGCAGGAGAAATTTGACTTTTCACTCGCCACCGCCCCTTAAGGTCACAGCACATATTCGGCTACAAAAAGCCCTGGAGCCTGTCAGAATGTAGCATCTTGTTCAAAGGCGTTTCACTGGAGCAGATTGTTGTCATTAAAGGTGACTGAACCTGAAGGTTGTGGTTGAAGGGCCTCACAATTTTATTCTTTTTATGTAAGAGGGAATCGTCAGTCCAAAACCTAAATATTTTCAGTTTACTATCATATATGACACAGAAAATAGTACAGGCAAGTAGAATTTCTGTCAAACGCTTTAGTAACTAGTCGTTGCATCTCTAATTCACATCAGGTCTCAGTGACTGCAACCACATGATCATCAGTGATATAAACAAATAATACAAATGTTTTTTAATGCCATTAATTTAGCCCTACAAAATGGTACATTTCTCTTACTGTCTTTGTAATGATGACGTCTCTAAACTGCGTACTGGTTGCAAGTGTGCTGCTACTTCAACAGAATTGTCAGAAGTGAAGCCTTGGTTTCCTGTTTGTGCCCAATCATTAGAGTTGTTTACTCAGCTTGTTTTTAATGTGTCTCCAGAGTTTAGTTTAATGAACCATCCATGAACATGTGGCAGTGCATCTATACATTTAGCAAAAAAATTCATTCCACAGTATATAATCAGTTGATGGCACTGTTTGAGGTTAAATTATTTTCTCTCTGACAGTTTTCATCATTACTTTTGATTTGGGAAAACCCTTTCCCCAAATATTGTTGCTTTTCTGGAGCATGAAATGAGATAGAGCCTTTTTCATGTGTGTTATTTAGCTGAGAGTGCATTTTGAGAGATGGGAAAGGGAAGTGAAAGCGTTTCCTTGCTTATCTAGACACTCAATGGACGTCAAGCCACACAACTGTAAACTTAAAACGGTTATGTGGAAATTACACAGTGGATAATTTAATTTCCATAAAGAATTATTTGTTGTGTGTAATGCATCTGCACAAACAAAGGACCTAGATGTTGCAGAAATGCTGCTTTTTAAATTAATTTACAGTATGTTGTCAAGAGCTTTTTACACACCAGCTCTTCATCTATCATACCACACACCAATACATACGTAGGCGTGTATTGTGTAATGATGTGTCATTACGTATTTTGTTGTTTGTTAACTTTTGTATAGATTTATAAAAAGTAATAATAATAATTTTCCATTCAGATGATCAGCATTTAGGGGGGTACATATCCTGTATGTGCCTAAACAGTGGTTTTCAAACTGGGGTCTGGGGACCAGCAGAGGTCTGAGTGGGTTGTAGGGGGTCCCTAGGAAAAGGAGGACGAGAATATTTGAACTTTTATCACATATTACTATATATGATAACATTAATATATATACATTTTATTTTCAATTAACTTTTAAAGGTGGGCTGCAGCACCTTATAAAACCAGATATTATAAAAACCCTCAATTGATTCAAAAGTTTAAACTCTTAGGGCGTTTTCACACCTAAAAGTCTGGACCAAGGTCCGGTCCAACGTTGGTGTTTGATTACATTGTATACATTTGATCCTGTTATTTTCAGTTTCACATAGTAATTTTGCTAGCGCACTAAAGAACTTTCCATGACATACCTACGGCGTGTTGTCACCACGTACGTGTGTTGCGTCTCCCTTTGATTGGTGAGTAGACGGGCGTGCGTCTGACGTTGGCGTGTTGTCATTTTGGCGGGTAGTCTTTTCCGTATGAATGAAAATGAATGAGCAAATCCCGATTGCGTTATTATGGTATTACTATCAACATAAACATATAATCTCCTCCTCTCCCCACGTACTTCCACGACTAATTTTTGCTTGTTCTGGTGGGGGTTTTCTTCCGTTTTTTTTCTTCTTCTTCTATGGTACGTATGCCTAACTTCCTGTAATTGGTCCGAATGTCCGAACCATCCAAAAAGTGTTTTTATACTGTAAACGAACCGAACCATGGTTCAGTTTGATCCAGACCGAGACCACCTCTTTAGTTCGGACCAAATTATGGTCTTTTGATCCAGACCGTGGTCCGTGGCACCTTTCTCACCTACAATTTTGGTCAGGACCAAAGTGAAAAGTCCGAAGGTCCAGACCAAATGAGGTATGTGTGAAAACGCCCTTACTCTTACTGAGATACAGGCTACATGTGTTGTTGCAAAACTACTCATTGGTTTAAAAATGCCACACTTCCCCGTACTTTCTCAGTAGTTGTTGCAACTCTAACCTTAATGGCAATAGGATGGTAAGACAAGACAGCTAAGCCTCACTGTAGCAGGGAATGTGGCCAAGTTGTTAAAGTTCAGTGACATTTTACTTCAACTTGAGGCATTACAAGAATGTCGACAGAAGGGTCCTTTACCCAGACTATTACATACTAGTGCCATTGTTGTGCTATGAAACTGAAAGCTTCTCTTTGTCTAGTAGGATTTCATCCCAAGCACCTTCGATTGTGACATAGGACTAGTAGACACGTAAAAACAGACCCATGAATCAGCAAACAGAATAAAAACCATCATTTAGAAAAGGAAAAAAGGAAACTGGCAAAACCAATAAATAAAAAGTCTTTAAAAACATCTGCAGCCCTCCCAGTAAGTGTTAAACTGGCCTCTGCTCTCTGGAACATGTTTTTACAATACTCACTGTAACATAATGGATTCAAAGACTTTGTTACAGGCTGTTATCCACATTATAGCACACACATATCATTTAATCATCACGAATTTGTGAGGTCAGCAGTGTTTGGTTTGACATTGTTCTTGAAGTCTTGACCAGGTGTTTAAGAAGTGTTGTTGTAACATCCACATGGCACGGCCTGCCTTGTCCTCTTGCTTAAAGGACCATAATCATGGTGACTGGATTTAGAAGATTAAGCTCATGACTAATTAGGTCCTGATAGGGTGTTCCCCTAACATGGCAACTGGCCTTTGTATGGAGCAATACTGATGTCCATTTAAACAGGAGTCAAAAAAAAATTTCGGGCACTTATTTTCTTAAGCGTTCAAAGTTTACTATGGCTGTCTGTGCTTGGCACCACTGGTTTATAAAACCTCTTCATTGCTCACATCAGTTATCCTTTACTTGAAAAGTTTGAGGCAAACAACATTTAGTAAGTAAATTTGAAGGGCAAATAAGTATAGTATAGTTGACTGACAGAAAATGAATTGGCAAATTTACTACTGAGTTTTGGACTTTTGGTCTTTGATATATGTACAGTGAAATTGGGTTGCAGAGATACTGATACCATGGTATATGTGTATGTTCACTTAACTACGGTATATAAAAAAACTCTTCCTTCCTGTCATTCCTTTAAGGGTCATTAACTGATGCTAATAATAATAATAATACTGTTGGTTTTTTTATAACACAGTTATTATACTAATCTCTTATTGTATGTCATGTTGACAGCGGTGAAGTTATATTATGAATGTAATTGTCTTGGTTACACATTTTTACTTTTACTTAAAGCAGCTTTATGTGTGTTTTGACATCTTTGTATGCTTTTCGTGTGCTCATAGATGGCTGCTTATGTCTTTATTTACAGTGAATGCCACTCAAAGTACAAGCTAGACTGAGCTGTGTATTAAAACAGCAAAGTTTACACTTAAAGTGTAAACTGCTTCCTTATTAGGTCAAGGAGAGTGGATCTATTAAATAGGCTAAGTGGAATACACTATCTGAATGGACTTAGTGCCTCTTCTTACAGTAGCTTAGATCCTAGTTGGCTTAAGACAGGGCAGGGATGATGACGTTAAAGGATCTGAATTATAGATTATAGTGTGTGAGTGCACTGCAGAGTTGCATGTGAGAGTGCATACTGCTGAAGTGTGCAGAGCTGCTCAATGGACTTGGGGAGTTTCCCTGATGCATGGGAGAGCACATCCTGCAGTTTAAACCACAGGGTGCTCCAGAGTTGTATACTGTACAATGCCTGTGGCCACAGTAAACAGTCTCTGACACAACATATGTTGATAATCTTGCACTGCTGCAGCCTTGTAGATTTTGTTTGGCTTCATCTAATTACCAAAATAATAATAATAAATGTCTGAACATTATAGAACTCATAGTAGATGTTTACAATTTAGCAATATATTGTGTCATTATGATATATGAGATTTGGTTGCCATAACAACATTTTCTTGCTTGATTGTGGTGATTTGTTGATGGTAAAAATGTCCTCACAATTGAGAGGCTGTAACGAGGGTGTGTTTAGCATTTTTGCCTAAAAAATGATTTGTCAGTTATTAGATTAGTTTATTTATTAATTCATGTCGATCATCTAATCGATTAATCAACAAATTGTTTCAGATTTATCCTTAATTGTCCTACAATCATGTGTAGCATGATTTATTGTTATTGCAATCTGGTATTTTCCTGGTATTTAAAGGCACAAGTTTTCTGAGTTTATTAGTTTTGTGTTTTACTTTTAGTTAATTGTATCCACATTGCTGATATCTGTTTTTCTGTGTTGATACTGCACCTTCTCAATGTTATTCCCAAAAGTCACATTATCACCGTTGAGCTTATCGATCAAAAATATTGTGGTTTGCCCTTGTAAAGCTCCAATAAAATCCTCAGTATCTCACTAAGTGGCTCGGTTTCCAAATTGAACAGGGTTTGTTTATCTGTTTGTTTTCCACTATCTTGCAGTCGATGTATGTTTTATCACTGTTGAGACCTCCTGAGAGCTCAGACAATTACACAGCACCACTGCAGGCAGTATTATGGGTGTCAGCATGGAGCAACACAGTGCCATGACTAATGATGAAAACGAGCACTCCCTGCTGCTATCTGTGCAGAAGGTTAACAAGACATTTTGGATCTAGTATATTTATTCATGATATGGCCCTGCCAATAGTTAATAGTTTAAACCAGTGGATGTTGTTACAGCTGGTATAAACTGGTTATCACTGGTTTGTGATCATACAGTTGAGCTGTGCTTAGATGCCTTCCTATATTGATTTGGTATCTTCATCTAATTACCATAATTATCTTGCTGGTAATTAGATGTTTAAGAATTTATGATATAGAAACAGTCCTGTGGGATGATGATCTTCCTCAGTGGAGGCAGTGACTGCAGTCAGACTGACAGGGGAACTTGTCACATTTCCTTTTCAGTTCAGTTCAGTACCTGTACAAAGATGTAGGGTTGCAAGCATGGTTGCAAGCAATGACTATAGGTTATCGATTAATCTGCTGATTAATTGTTTGGTCTGTGAAACATCAGAAAATAGTGGATTTTAAATTTTCTAGAGCCAAAGGTGACAAATAGGTAAATAGGTGCCGATTAATTTACTATTGATCAACTAGTTGACAAATCATTGCAGCTCTGCTGTTTAACTGAAGTAAATGGACGGCACATAGTTACAGCTAAATCAGTTAGTCGCTTACTCGATTTGTTAATCAAAAATGCTACAATTTCTCAGGTTCTTTGCTTCTCAAATGAGACGATTTCCTGCACCAATCTCATGGCAAACAGAATGAAAGTCTTATTCAGTAATGCACATGTAATGAGAAGAATCTTAAAAACCCATGATTCAAAGAATAGCTCAGGGTGTCTCAACTGAGCATCTATGAGTTAGATTAACATACTGAAATTGATAGAGTTCTGAATAGTTCTTGTGCTAATTTCTTCAAGGAATAAACTAGACTAAGCAATCTTTGATCAGTGACGGTGTGGAATAAACAAAAACACTGCGAACAGAATGAGGAAGGCAAAGAAGACGCAATAGTGTAACTTCCTGCTTTCTTTTGCTTTTCAGATGAACAGCAAGCAGTGAGAGTGAGACAGTGTCAGAGGATGCTCCTGGTCTGCAGGGCCCAGTGCTGAGGGAGGTCCACAGAGCCAACTGGTGCCCACCATGTCTCACCACCAACACTACCAGCGAGGCCCCCATGGCCGCACCATGAGCTCTGAGGAGAGGAGCTCCACGCCAGTCAACAAGACCTCCACACCGGTTCACAAGAGCGCCTCTTCATCTTCCTCTTCCCAGCGCGACAGCCGACAGGTAATTGCCAGGCCATGGGAGGAATCTATCTAGGAATAGTTTTTAGGGATAGCAGCTTTGAATGAAACTGACTTGAGCAGAGGTGATACAGAGAGGAGCGAATATTATTTTGAGTTGCTGCAGTGTTCTGTCAGTGCCATCCTCTAGTGAGACAGTTATTGCAACAGAAAAACAAGCAGATAGAAGGGAACTGGATATCAGGAAATATAAAATCCTGAAATATGAATTCAGCAGTTTCAGTGTGTGAAAACAGTCAAAACTATAATATGATGACCTAGTCAGTTTTTATAAAAATCAACTGCCATCACCCAGCGGACCTCAGATTTTCACACATAAAACATGTGCAGGGTTTGTGGAGTCTTTGTCAACCAAAGCTGGGCAGACACTACGTCTTTATTAATCTTGTACAATGTGTTCAAGTTTTAATTTCCGCCAAAAGGCATGACCTCTGTGCTCACACTGTACAGATCAGTTTACCGGCTTTTCTCCATTGATTCCAAGTCCATTAAAGTTTATTCAAAGAAGATCCTCAGAAATGTTGACAAAAAAACACAAAGCGCGCATTACTTCAGGTAATTCTAGACTTAACTCAAAGCAGGAAGAAAAAAGACAAATATTGACAGATGGCTATGAAGACGTAGACTTTTGATCTTTTGCCAGTTCAGTGTTATTTCTCTCACAGCACCGCATCTCATTTAAGACTACAGTTGGCTAACCAACCAGCCAGATTTTTAATCGCCACGACCCCCTGAAAATCTGGCAGGAATTCGACTATATTCTGATTTTGGGACGACAAATTCAGGGTTAAAATCCGGTTTAATTTACACGCTGTCGAGTTTAATAGTCAAAATATTATTTTGACTGATTTGTTTGAAGTTAAATATGTCAGATTATTACTATATTTTCCCTCTGCAGATTAATTCAGTCATACTGACTAACCATTAATAGTTTATTCTGCGTGGAAAGTCCATTAGAAAAAAGACTAATTGACTATCAACCCTACAAGACCTTATCAACTGATTAGATGACTAATCAGCCAAGATAGAGCAGCCTTAATTCCCTGGTTAGTAAGTAAAAACCTTGCAGAGACATGGTGAACAATGAGATACGCTCTTATTTCACAGTTCACGGGACAAGTGCTTAAACTTAACCCCTTAGAGTAAACCATCTGAAGCCCCCAGCCCGTCTTTAGCTCACTGAGCTGCTGTGTCACTGTGGCCACGCAGTAACAGGACACCGAAACTGGAATCTCTGACATCATAGCTTTTCCGTCGGCACTGGATGATAAATATTTCATGAGGGACAGGCGGAGGCTTGGTGCTCCACTGAACATGTGGCATTCTCTGGTATTCTGTGTGGGAGCCCAGCGTGTGTCCGCAGGAGATGGCTCTCTGAGGAGAAAAGGGAGTTGGTTTGAGAAATGAGGCCTGTTTTGAAGCACACAGTCAATGGCTTCTGCGTGATGAGGCGGACAGCTAACCCTTCCAACCCTTCTGTTCATTGTTCCTTTCCTTAATGTCACCTACTTGCTTTTGATAACAAGGCCTTCATCTGTGAAAAGGTCCACCAGTTCATTTCCCAGACGCTCCATAATCTTAAAGGCAGCTTAATCTGAGAGCAAGGTTATCTACTAGCCTTTATTTTCTTATTCATCTCTTTTAATGTGTTTAATGAAGTCAGGTACTAGCCAAAGAGGCAGCTACTACGACAGAAAATGGAGTCTTTGTCCGGTAGATTCCCTTCATTTTGTACACCTGCTTGATCAAGACCTCAAGATAGTCAGCGGCATGTTGAAAGAATCAGCAGCACATAAAGAATTTAACTGGGAATTAGTTCTTGATTGGTTGCAGCTGTTATTCATTACGATTTAGGAGTGTTCGCTAAATGATGCAGTGATGTACCTGTGGGTACACGCCAGACACTTGATGTATCAACTACAGAGGCAGGTGTATCATTCAAAAACAGTTAGAGTTACAAATCCTATTCAGTTCGATTCAGCTGTCTCAGGGGTTTGGCTCACTACTGTTATAAAAATGTACAAGGAGAGAAAGGACATAAGTCTCCTGCAAGTACATTTTAAGAGACACTGAAACACAAATGAGTTTAGTTCTGCTTCTTCAGGTTTGACTGGATCACCTGAAAGTTAGAGTTATGTCTCTGCTAGCTACTACTACCCACAAGCTAATGGTCAAATGTGTTTTTTATAAGATCGGCAGGGTCAACCTAGTCACCCTAAATTACATTTGATCGGATAAATGAAGGTATCAAAGGAATTTTAGAGACTTTTTTGACATAGATGGATTGTACCAAGATACAACTGAACAATCTACACGGGGACACAGGATTATAATCGGTGAAAGATGGAGACTCTGCCTTAGCAACCACAGTGGAAAGATAATGATACATTATTATGATTATTGTTGACAAAACAGTCTCAACACAAGTTCTTGTTAGTAGCTGTTCTGGAGCTTTCGATTGTATCACACTATCTTCCTCAGCATACAGAGTTTGTCCAGTCGTCATAAAATCTTTACAGCACAAATTTCCATTTTTCACATCCATGTTGGCTTAAAATTTGAGATTAAAAGTTTCTATTATTTTTATATATATATATAGATAAACATATACATTAAAACACACACACACACACATAAAAAAGTGTATAACAAAGTACATTTAGTGGCTGTTCTGGAGCTGTTACATTATCCTAATGAGAACTGACCGAATCTTGTGATGTGCTCATCATGTGTGAACAGCTACTTAATGGATCTTGCGGTGAGATCAAACTAATGTAGAATGGACGTGATGAATCATTATTATAAAAGATTCTTTTAAACATGATTGTGAAACATTGTTGACTAATTTGCCCGGTCATCTCCAGCGTAAAAAACAGAGTTTCTCTGAACTTTGTTGACATTATGTAAAGCTATACCTGCTCTTTAATTGTGTAATAACCGTGTTTTCCTACTTAGAGGCTGCTTAGTGTTTTCTGTGCAGGGAGTTTTGAGTGATATGTGGAGCACTGTAGAGAATATGCAGTACAGTACATCTTCCCCAGGGACATCCTGAGGAAGCACAGTAGACTTTGAGAAAAGACCTTAGCTAGCTTGCCTGGGCCTCAGTTTTTGAGGAAAAATGAGAGCGGGGCATTTTGTTGGGAAAGCCTTAATGAGATCCAGCCCCCATTTTCAAATCAATACATGTCACTTTCCCCTCTGCTGACGACTACTGTTCACTCTGGAGACCCTCATGAGAGCAATTAGAGGCACCACCTGCAGTAAGCACAAACACACACACTTAGACGTTGATCCAGGATGTCGCTGCAACTATCAATTTTTTCTCATGCTGCTTGTCATTTCCTGGTTAGATAAGATGTTTTTGTCTCAGAGATAGGAGGGGGAATATATTTAACTAATTTCTTCACACAGTCTGTGCAAGAGGTGCCAGTCTTTTTATATTTCTGGTTTCAAATGAAGTTTTGCCTTAGTCTTCTCCATGGCATAAACCACCATAACCACTTTTAATATGAGGAGATTGTGTCTTATTGTCTTATATATTGTCAGAACTGATGCCATGGATAAAAGTCCTGTATTCAGTGTCAGATTTATACCCAAGTGACTGAATTTTATACAGGGGTCATTTTAATTGTACTTTGAGTGTGTTTTAAAGAAAACACATAAAAATACAGATGAGTCATTTGTTGTTTTATAGATATTGTTGGTCTGTCAACAGTCTCTTTTTGTACTACCTCAGTGAAGAATTAACGTTTGTGTTTCAGGTAGTCACTCAACACAGTTCCCTTACTCTTTCTCAGTTATCCCGTATCTCTGCTACAAGTCAGCAGGTCACACATGTGGTCTGTAACCGAATCTGTGGTGTTTACCCAGAGCATGAGACTGTGCTCATACGCAGTCTCTCAGGGTGTTAACTTCTCATCCATGTGGCCGCCCGCCGTCCTACTCTAAGCTTTACTGCTGAGCCAGCCAGACACTGCAGTGATATCCATCCTCACAACAATTCCTCTGTGGTTATTAGCTGCTGAAATATCATTGTTCAGTGGTGATTTTGGAGCATGTATAGTATAGTTTCATCTTACACAGTATATTCTTATGCAAGTACAATAGGAGAGCACATACTGTAAGTTTCAGTTTTATTGCTTTATTATCTGGTATTTTATAGTGGACACACAACTAAGTAGTGATAAGGCTAGTTGTAAAGTAAGCGTTTAATAGTTAGATGCCACTAAATCCTACACACTAGTCCTTTAGCTTAAAAAATACACACATATAGCAATAAAGGTCTTTTAATATATATGATACCTGACCTCAAGAGAGAAACATGCTTTATTCTGATATAAGAAACCCATTTGTATCCTCATATAGCCTTGGATGACCCCACCTGTAACCTCTTGAATAAGTCTATGCTAACCGTATCACACTCACACACAGTCGAGACATCTAAATTGAACAAAAAAAGGTTAAATTTGTAATGCTTGCCCTTGGATTCTGATTAAAGAGCTACTGAAAAGTCATCAAGGGCTGTTAAAAGGTTGTATGCTTTATGTTTGTGTCATGGTTAGTTTGGGTTTCTCATGATAACAAAGTAGTTTTCTTGCAACGAGGGCTACAACTAACAATTATTTTCACCATCAGTTAATTTTGTGATTATTTTCGTCATTAATCGATACATCTTTTAATCTATAAAATGTCAGAAAATAGTAAAAAAAAAAAAAGAAAGATAACGTCTGATGTCTTGTTTTGTCCGACAAACAGTCCAAAACCTAAAGATATTAAATTTGCCATAACATAAAACAGAAAAGCAACAAATCACATTTGAGAGGCTTTACTAAACAAATGTTCTGCATTTTTTCCTCAAAAAACAAATTGTTGTTTTCTCTAGATTATGTGATCATTAAATAAAATTTAAAAAAATAAAGATAATTAACTTGTTATCACAAAATAACATGATATAATAAAACAATTGCCGTTCTTGGCTTCCATAGATGTTCTCTCCAAACTGTGAATGAATGTTGCTCCGTAGAACAATATTCTGGCCTTTTATCTTGTTTATTTTGGGTAATCAATAATTATGTAAACCCCTTAGATTTAGACCTCCTGTGAAAGATTAAAGGATTAGAGTTAAAGGATGAAGTCTGTTTCATTATTTTTAGCACTCTTTTTATTACAGCATTTTGTTTTATTGCACTGTGAATACACTAAGCGTAGAGTAGGAAATAATCTGAATTGGTTTTGTTGCGTCTATGCAGTGCAGCACTTTAGAAAAGTCCAACAGTGTTTCAACAGTCAGCAGCAGTAGACCGTTACTCCACATGTAGATCAGTGTCTGCGGGAGAAGCAGATGTTTAAGAAAAACTTGTCAGCAGAAGTGGGCTGTCATACTGATATTTATAGTGCTGATTTAGCCTAAGGTGTCCCCAAGGAGTGTTTGTCCTTTCTGCTGCTCAGGGAGACCTTAACTGTAATTGTTTGATTCATTGCAGCATTAAAAGATCTACTGTGCGACAGTACTGAGTGTCACTGCAGGTAGAGAGATGCAGCCTTTGAAACTGACACAGAGGAGACTGTTAGACTGACTGATTGGGATTATACAAGTCATTTTACTGTTCATCTTTCTTTAAAATATACTTACGTAATCACGTCATTCCACTGATATGATATGATTTTTTCAAGGGAGACATGGAAAAGAAAAGTAGTACAAAGGCAAAAAACCCTAAAACAAGTCAAAGTTATCCAGTATCAAACGAACAAGCTCATGGAACAAACCTTTTTAAATCTTGACATAGAAAGGCAGACACCCTCTTACTGAGTCTGCCACAAGATCCTTCATTAAAGGGGTAAACTCACCAAGAGGGACCGGCTCATTCAACTTTAAATTATTCTGCAGTGAGATCAATGAATGTGAGCAGAGTGCAGGAAATCACTTTGGCTTAATTCAGCTCTGTTTTCAGGCTCCAGTAACTAAAGCAATTTCTCTGACTGTAGCAGTAATTTCCATATAAACCGGTAGTTGGCAAATACTTTGGTATACTTGTGTGGAATTGATTAATTGTTGATTTATATCGTTGATGGTTCAGGTCTTAAAACGATGCCCAGGAAAGTGCATTGAATTGCAATATTTGCAGCACAAGCCATTCTTTATTTAGTGTAGTATTGATTTATCAATTTGAAGCCAGTAGAACGTCTGTTTGTAATGCTGCAGATAACACACAGGAAGTTTGTCTGAAGTGTTTCTATCAGGCTGCTGCTTGTTATTGCCTGTCGGGGAGGCTGCTCGTCACATGTAAGGCTGTTATGTTCTAAATACAGAAGCTGTTGAAGATATTTTGATCATTTTACTGTCCACGTTATACCGTTGAGTTGTTCAACGGATAGTGACCTTTGTGCTCTGAGCGTAATGAGTGAACCGATATGATTGCTTTAAATGGTGTGGTGCATTTTGCTAATGAAGTTGAGCTTCTCCACTTCCCCTGCTGCACAGGGCCACTGAAAGGAGGGGCTATCGTCGGTGGGGAAACATGACCTCATTACCAGACAGATCTGTTTTCCTGGTCATTATATTAAACAAGCTGTTGTCTCCTTTTGTTAAGTGTCCTGCAAACCAAGGTCAGGTATCCTAACGTTCACCCTACGAGCTGTCTTGAAGGTTGCAGCATCACACTGTGCAGTGAAGAGCCACAGGCTGTTATTTGGCTTTCCAGAGAAGCTTGTGCATGCTAAGTTGTGGGTTTTGCCGTAAGGGCTCTGCCACTACTGATTCAAGTATGAAATTAATAAGCTGACCTGCTTTACCAATATTACTTTGAGTTGCATTAATATTTCACTTAATCTGAACTGCCAAAAAATAGATGACTACATGTCATGTTGAGGTATTGCTACCGATAGTATGTACAATGATAACACTTTCAAACAACAGAGACCATAATGCAATACAAAGTCCGAAGACTAGTTGTGTTGTCAGTAAAATATTTTCCATTGATATTACTGTTGTTTTCTCCAGCTATACGCATTCCTTAGGGCTTGTGTTGGCGCCAAATTGCTAATGTTAATCCTAGGGGACAAATGCGCCCCACAAAGTACATCCACTGAAAGTGCTTGTTTTTGCCACAGGCTATTCACTGGCCTGTCAGTTATTCTAAGTGTCTGACAACATTAGGGAAGAACCCGTACAGAGATAGACCCGAAACAGCTACAATATCCATATTGCTCGCCACCAGACTCCATAGGCTAAAGTAGTAATTGCTTCATTTAAAATTCACAAAACAAAAATAAAACTCACCAAAATGCTCTGTAAAAAGTCTTTCCACTGTTCCAACAATCCCAAACTCTGCTTTAGTCAAACAAAATCTTTAATTCACTGAGGTAGGTGAGAAAAACTGACGTTTCAGTCGCTCTGCTGAGCTGCACAATGAGCAGACAGACTATGTAAACAAACCACAGAGAGGCTGCAATAGAGGCTGCAAAAGCAACACAGGCAAAGACTTTTAGAGTGTGCAGAGATAAACAGCAGCATTGTTGGAAGAAATGTTTCATTAGCTTTATTATGTACCGAACACATTTCTCTATTCTATAATATATATATATATATATATATATATATATATATATATATATATATAAATATTATGGGGAAAAACATCCAACATTGTGTATTTTAAGAGTTAAACACTCCTCATTTCACTTGCTTCATCAGGACAATGTGGATGTGGTCTGATCACGTGTTATTGACGGTGGTCTGGTAACAATAGCAAACAACCTAACTCAGATTTTGTTTAAACTTGTTGCTAAATCCCAATTGGTGCGCAGAAGTATATCAGCTTTTTCTGATTTTTCTAATTGAGCTGCCCACTTCAAACCTGTAAGTAGAGCACAAAGACATTGATTGAGAATTGAGACTGAATAAATTTTCAGGACCTTTATTCTATCCATTCAATATTACTAGAATCATCTTTAGCACCTAATAAAGACAACAGTGTTGTGTCATCTAAAAACCTCATCATGTATTTGGAATATCAGTCTTACTGTTTTTTACTGTATAAATTATGAAGAGTAGCTGTGATACCACATACCGTCCCCAGTTCAATTCCACCTCTCGCCTTGTTTCCTGTTTCCTTCTCTACTGTCAACTGTCCAAAAAAGGGAAAATGGCCAAAATAATGTTCCAAAAAGGTACATCCTGGGAAATGTAGGGGATTACTAACTGAGATACAGGCCTGTTCTTTACTTGACAAATTATAGTCATATGATTTCTTCAAGTAATCCATTTATTTACATTAATTGAACAACCTGTCTAAGTGTATCTCCAGTGTTTATATATTTATCTTTTTATTTTTTGTGTGATTGTATATTTCAAGCACCATTGCACCAAGACAAATTCCTCGTATGTGTAAAAACCTACCTGACAATAAATCTCATTCTGATTCTGATTCTGATTCTGATTATTATTCTTCTGCAGATAATCTTCAAATGGAAGCCTTAGCAGGAATGTAGAGCTTATTAAATAAAGATCAAAGCAAATGTGTGAATATTATTGTGAAGCCAGAGATTTTATATAAAAGAAAACAAATGTTTAGTCAACCAAGAACCCTAACAACCAATTAGCCCTGCTAACATAGAAGTAGATAAGACAGGTAAAGAGAAAGTAAATATTCAAACTTGTGCACAAAATAACTTCTGAAAGTGCCTGAATGGGTCATCTCAGGCCAGTACAGCAGGATGGTGATGATCTTTATCTGTTCCCAGACATTTTGGTGTGATCCCATGATTCCTAGTGTGTGTGTGTGTGTGTTCCCCCCCCATATCCCCCCCCCCAGAGGGACAACGGTGTGATGTCCTACCTGTCCCTGCCTGACCCTGCCATCCCTGTACTCCAGAGGCGTCACTTTGATTTACAGACCCACTAGCAGCAGGAAGAGCACAGTCAGGAAAAAGCTAATGGAGTGGAAATGCTGAGAGAGCAGGGGGAATTTGAATGGGGTAGTTTTTCTTTAAATGTTTAGTACAAGGGAAAAGAATAAAGAAGTGTTGAATGTATTCCTGTTGTTTTCTTCTGTCAATCATGACAGGCGCATGTTTTCTCTTTATTACAGCAAGCGTTTTTCTTCTCATTCTGCTGGAGTAAGTGGATTAGTTCTGACACCACGCTGTATTTTTATTCCTCTCTAGGAGGCAGACAGCTGGGAAATCATTGAGGGGCTGAAAATTGGTCAGAGCAACGTCCAGAGGCCTGATAAACACGAGGGGTTTATGTTGAAGAAGCGGAAATGGCCCCTGAAAGGCTGGCACAAGGTAAGATCCACATGCAGAGCGAGACACGAAGAGCTTTTGTCGGTGGAAAAACACTTTGAAGCACAGCCGCCCCTTGAATGTTAAACAGTTTTCTGTCTAGTAAGGTGCTATTGCTTGAAAAAACTTCCCCTTTTCATGCATCTTTACCCTCCTTGGGCCTCTTCCGCAGGCATACTGGATATTTCCTTTGAAGTCACCACCTTCAGCATCAGCTTAACTGTTGTTTTCTCAAAACACTTGAATACCAGTGGAAACCAGTACTTGTTGTTAGCTTATTTGAACTCACAACACCACAGAACATGCATAGCCTTTGTCCTACTGCTAATTAAAAGATACTAAATAATAATAATAATGATATTAAAAGGTCCAATGTGATCTATATTCAATGTCCGCCCTTCCTGTTATTTAACCAACACATTATTTTTGTGCTTATTTTCTCTGCAGCGTTTTTTTGTTCTGGACAATGGTATCCTGAAGTACTCCAAGTCCCCCATTGATGTAAGTAACCCTGACTATAACCCACAGGCAGAAACAGGGCAGCCTGGCCTGACATCAGCTTGGCTTGGTAATGAGTCAGCAGAAAAATATGCAACACGGGTCATGATGTTCAGTGTGTTTTAGCACGCCATGTCACTTTGCAGGAGAGCTAGAATTTTACAGATGAAATGGAAGTGTAACCCACAACTGTGAAGAAAACCAAAGGTCACTTTGGTAACAAAGGTGGCTAACAAAGGTTACTTTGCTGTATGTATGGGTGCAGCAAGCCAAATAGTTGAGGAAGTACATTTTCAGAATATTTTTATGAAATGTGTGTTGCATCCCAAGACGTACACTATTTCACATAAATAACCAAACAACAAAACAAATACTGCATATTACATCAGACATCACAAATAAGTGGCTACAGTGCAGTCAATGTAATCGTTCCCTTTTACATTCAGTGCTTACTCCACACAGGAACACTGAGGCCTACGTAGGACCTAAACTCTGATTTTAAAATCTGCTTTTTTAACCTATTCAGTTTAGCCTGTGGGACAATAAATCTCCTGTTTGATGGCAAAAGCAGACATTTTTCACATAAATTATTAGAGTGGTCTGATGTAATTTTACCAGCCAGAAGCAACTGCATCCTATTAGTATACACATTTTGAAAATTTGAGTCAAGCGTTTCACAATCTCAGATACATAGTAGTCGAGCATTACGCTGAACAGCGACAGAAGTGTACCATGCTGCTTCCACAATGCACAACACTCTGTATTAAAACAATAACAGGATCAATTTGTTTGCTCCAAATTACTTTAGTCTCCTAAGAAAGTGTGTTTTTGTATCTTGCTACTGATATAATCAATATGTGCACTCCAAAATAAAGCTGCATTCACATAGATGCCTAAATATTCATTGAAGGAATCTGTGTTTAATGGACACTAACAGGTGGAGGATAAGAAAAAAATAATTTTGGATTAATAATGAGCTAATTCTTTTCCTACCGCTCAATTAATCTCTCCCTGCAATAGTGATGAATACTAGGATCGTCTTCAGTGCCTAACAAAGACAGCAATGTACTTTCATCTGAAACTTCAACATAAATGTATTTGACATGTTGAGTCTGTCTGTGTACATCCAAGTCCATCTCAACCTGATTTGATGAGTGGACAGAGTGGTCAGAATCACACAACCCTGAGATTAAGGGTCTCCTGCTCTACCAACTGAGCTAGGTTGCACTTGAGCCTTTTGAATCAACATCTTTTGTTGTCATACTGTTTGCCAAAGAACATCGCCCAACGTGGGGCTCGAACCCACGACCCTGAGATTAAGAGTCTCATGCTCTACCGACTGAGCTAGCCGGGCTGTATGAATTGAGCATAATGCATCTGATTTCCTGGCTGCATTAACTCTTATAAGACTCAGACAGGTGGAGGGTTTGGAGGTTTGGATTACTGGCTCGACTCTATTCACACCCCACACCAAAATATAAATAAAGAAGACCATAGTAGGTTGTCACGCTACAGGGATAGAACCTGTAGGTAAAGCAATTGCTAGAAGTGGGATGTGAACCCATGCCTCCACCAGAATTCCCTTTGCTAAGGAAGGGTAGATTGTTTTGTAATGTGAATGTCATTTATACTGTTGACCAAAGAACATCGCCCAACGTGGGGCTCGAACCCACGACCCTGAGATTAAGAGTCTCATGCTCTACCGACTGAGCTAGCCGGGCCATATTACTCAAATATAATGGATCCGTTTTCTCCGCTGCATTAACACTCAGACAGGTGGAAGGTTGGAGGGTTAGAGGTTTGGAGGGTTGGAGGTTTGGATTACTGGCTAGACTCTACTCACACCCCACACCAACATTTATAAAAATAAGACAAGTAGGTTGTTGTGCTACAGGGATAGAACCTGTAGGTAAAATCACTGTCAGGAGTGGGATTTGAACCCACGCCTCCACTTGGAGACCAGAAGTCCCTTTGCTAAGGAAGGAGTCTACTCTTGAGTCTGGCGCCTTAGACCGCTCGGCCATCCTGACACAAGACAGTATTTCTCTTGGACAGCTTTCAAAGCAACATTGCATTGCAGTTACCGCTGATGGCCTCTGTGAAACACAGGAGCAGCATTAGGATGGTGGAAGATGAGTGACAAGGACATTCATAACCATTGACTAACCATGTCGTGCACAAGTGGAGCTTTTTGAAGGAGCATCATCTGGAAGTAGCAAATCAAATGAGTCCCGGCCACAAATGGTAGATTGTTTTGTCGTGCAAACATTTATACTGTTGACCAAAGAACATCGCCCAACGACCCTGAGATTAAGAGTCTCATGCTCTACCGACTGAGCTAGCAGGGCTGTATCGAGCGGATATAATGGGGCCGATTTCGGGGCTACATAAACTTATGATAAAAAAATGATAGGTTTGCAGATTTATATGAGACTTGAAAGGTGTATAACAAAATACATTAAGCTATTTATCATTGAGAGCTTTCAAAGCAGCATCACATTGCAAAAGAAATTTGTTTTTTTGAGGGCCCCTCTGAAACACAAGTGAAGCTCTAAATTAGGGACGGTGGAAGATGAGTGAGTTACTATGTCGTCCACAAGCTCCTTTGCCTCAATGGGGTTTGAACCTTTTGAAGCAACATCATCTGGAAAGGCGTTGCAGTAGCCAATCAAATGAGTTGAGTTCCAGCACAAATGCTAAATTTTTTTTTTTAATGTGAACGTCATTTTTAGTGTTTACCAAAGAACATCAGCCAACATGGGGCTCGAACCCATGACCCTGAGCTAGTCTACCGACTGAGCTAGCCGGGCATAAATCAAGCATAATGAATGCGAATTTGGGCTGCATTAGCTCTCATGGACACAGACGGTGGAGGTTTGGAGGTTTGGATTACAGGCTAGACTCTACTCACACCCCACACCAAAATATATATAAATAAGACCATAGTAGGTTGTTACGCTACAAGGATAGAACCTGTAGGTAAAACCACTGTCAGGAGTGGGATTTGAACCCACGCCTCCACTTGGAGACCAGAAGTCCCTTTGCTAAGGAAGGAGTCTACTCTTGGGTCTGGCGCCTTAGACCGCTCGGCCATCCTGACACAAGATAGAAATGTCAGGCAAAATCATCTGTGTCTAAAATCTTCATTGCCCAAAGTGAGTGTCATGATCAGATGGCTGCGCTCTCTAATGCCATTCTAGTTGTAAATGTAATTATGCATGTGTGCACAAAACTTACAAACTGAATTGACCAACTGTAAGTTTGAGTAAACTAAGAAAATATATTTGTCTCACTTGCCTTAGATCCAAAAAGGCAAACTTCATGGCAGTATCGACGTCGGCCTCTCAGTCATGTCCATCAAGAAGAGGGCCCGTCGCATCGACCTGGACACTGAGGAGCATATCTATCACCTGAAGGTAACACTGATGGGAAGAGTCAGTATTGTGATTTCAACTTTGATAACAGAAGGTCAGCAGATGAAAGAGTTTAAAGCTATCTGCCCTCTACCTCTTTAGGTCAAATCTCAAGACATCTTTGATGCATGGGTGTCCAAGTTGCGTCATCACCGGCTTTACCGCCAGAACGAAATTGTGCGATCTCCGAGGGAGGCCACCATGCGAACATTTCCTCCCCCAGCTGCCATTGAGTCCCCCCAACCTGCCTCGAGTGTGGTTCGTGAAGCCAAGGTGAGCCCTCCTACCCCCTCATAATACTACAAATTGTGTTCATAAGTGGGCTCGGAAAACAGAAAAATCGTCAAATTTGAGAAGCTTGAATCAGACTCTATTTGACATTTTTGCTTAAGACTTTTTTAAAAAATGACTAATTATCTGAGTTATTGCAGATACATTTTCTGTTCAGACATTAGCTGAAAAACTAAAACATAACATTACAGATTTTATGTTTTGTACGTTTTTCATACTTCTACTGTGTATCAAGCCTAAAAGAAGTCTCTCTGTTTCTCTGTGCTCTGGGCAGAGTGCAGTTACTTATTCAAGAAGGGTATGTCATTGGGAATGAGACATCACCTGTTATGTTTTTATGGGAAATAGTGGGTGAAATAAAATTCACATTCACAGTAAAAACAAGACTCTGTGTCTGCCTCTGTCACCTGATAACTTTACGCCTTTCACTTTGTGTAATGTTTTTCTTTCAATTTCCATGTTGTACTAAATGTGCTCCAAGCTCCCCATTGATGTTGTAACCATGGCCCTGATGTGTCCCTGTATTATGTCTAATTGCTAGACTAATGGCTGTAAATGTTCAGACAGATATCTGTTCAATGCAGAAATGCTGATTGGGCCAGTAATTGCATACAGATCATTAGGATAACGACCGTTTTTAGTTTAGTGTGAACCCCTGGTTTTCGTTGACGTGTCTGAACTGTTTGTGAATGTCAGGATGCAGCGAGTGCGGGTTCTCCTGGGAGTTCGGCTCAGTGCCTCATGCAGGCCATTAGAGGTGATCAGTAGGATCTGGATTCAGAGTAGCTGGCTGGAGCCTGATGAGCTCTCCCAAAGAACAGCTTTAAAATGAGATACTCTAGTCCTATAGTCAGAATTAACTGCTACATCTTAGCTTTAAGACTTAGCTTTGGAAGGAGCACCATCAAGGTCTCCTCCAAATACTAAGCAAGCTTCGGCATGGCTGCAGTTTGTACTGTACATGCTCCTAAAAGCAGATAATGCAACGTCTCTCATGATTTTATTCAACCTGCTTTAATTCAGATTCACTGCAGCTGCTGCATGTGGGTCAAGTACCTTCCTCAAGGGCACAGACGATCCATACAGTATGCGTATGGTATAAGTGATCCATTTAAATACTAGTGAAGTCTTTGTATCCACAGTAGTCCTGATTAGTTATTTCATAGAAAAATAAATTGCAACAATTTTAATTAAAATGAAAAATAAACAATACCAAATATCTGCTTCCAGCTCCTCAAAGGGATGACTCGTTCTTTTTCTCTTTTATGCAACATTAATCTGACACAACAAGAAATCCAAAGACATCGACTTGGGTGGCATTGTGATGGATATTTTTCATTAGTTTCTGAGGTTTTCAAACTTTTCTAACCTCCACACCCCCTTTTTAAGGGAAATGACAGTAGCTATCATGTTTTACACTACTGAGTACTAAAGTTCGTCCAAACTGCCAGTTTCTAGACACAAAAGACACAAGACTCACCTGATATACTGACAGTAAAACAGACAAGACTGACTTCATCATATTTTTTATGTATATATTTTTTATGTATTTGTGTGACTGATGTATTTCCTGAATGAGCATCACTTGTTTTTCCTTTCTTCCCTGTCAATAATCATATATAATAATCATCATTTTGTAATTTCAAAAAGCCAAGTTACTGTCTGAACAATCTTGCTAACCTGACATCTCATAGCCTTGCTAGCATCATACCAATCTTGTTTGGTCATTGTTTCCACATGAAGCAGATTCATGTACTTTATATTTGCTCTCCTTTTTTCCTCTGACCCTTTTCTGTCTGCAACCAGTTTTGTAGACAAAACAATTTCTCAATTAATCAAAAACCATGTATAGATGAATTAATAATGGACATAATTCATTGTTGCAGCCCTAATCCAGAACATTAATTTCTTCGCAATGTCAGTGCCACTTGAATAACTACAGTATGATCAAAACTAGTTGAACAGTAAACTCTGATATGACAAAGCAACCAAATCTCACCCTACAGCAGGCCAAGCCCAGCAGCTTGCCATGGCAGCCAGTGGCCCCCAGCAGCGGCAGCAACAGCAGCCTGCCTGCCTCCTACAGTAACGGCCAGAGCAAGGTGGTTGCTTGGCTGCAGGAATCAGAGGAGATGGACAAGTGCGCCGAGGGTAAGTGCAATTTTCGTCATCATGCTGGGATTAAATCTGATTTCACGAAGAAGTAGATTAAATCATATCTCTGGCTTTACGATAAGTCTTCTGAACCCTGAGAGGAGGATTGATGACCATGTCATGACACACAACACTGAATGTGTTTGTGCACACGTGTGGGTGTGAATTTCATTTTCAGAGCTCGCACGATGCCAGTCCAACCTGACTGAGCTGAGCCGGTTATTGCAGAGTCTGGAGATTCTGCAAAGGACACAGTCAGCGCCCAACTTCACAGATATGCAGGTGAAAAGGATACACACACACACACACACACACACACACACACACACAAGAGACATGCACGCACATACAGAAACACACACACATGCAAGCATGGGAAGCAATTTAGTTGGTTTCGTGTGTGTGGAAGTGTTCAGGAGCCTGTATTACTAATGATGGAGGTGTGTCAATCTTAGAAAAGTACAGTCTTTTAAGACCCCAGCAGTCACCTTCATTACCTGTCTAGACCGACAGAATTCAGCTGCATTTACAGAACACCTGCCAACTTCTCTAACTGATTTAAATTTTTTGGATTATAATTTTTGGCTGAAATGCTTCTTTTTTTTTTTAACACCACACCTCTCATTTGTCTCAATATTTTGTTTGCAACTCATTTGTGGGAATGATGTTTTGTTGCCATTTCACTGCAGTCAGTGTGTGTGTTAACTTTTGCTTTATTTGTGATGTGTTTGTCCTATTAACCACATTTTACATATTTTGATCCATGTGTGCCACAAAGACCAATTGTGTTGAATTGTCAAAGAAAGAAAAGCGCTTGAACAGAAGATGGAGAACAAAAAGTGTCGGCAAAGATGCAAAATTCCAGCTTCAGGTATTTCTTTTCTGACTTTTGCTCTGCTACATAAAGACACACAAACTTGCAGTCACTCTTACACACACTCAGATATGCAGTCTCTAATTAAGAAATTACTGGGGCTTCCATAATGCTGTAGTTCAGGTCACAGTTAAAGAAACTGTTAATTTAGTTAATTAAGACAACAAGCTAAATAAGTTTTTTACCATGTGTTTAATGTAGTATTTAATGACACAGGTGCAAATATTAAAAGGAAAGATATATAACAATGTGTATTATATTTCACTTGATGTCTTTGTTGGATTTAGATTATTTGTTTTCCATATAAAGTACAGTAACCTTTCAGTGTAAGAGCTTGTTAGTGATAAGAGAGACCTGAGAAGTCACATGTTTGATCCCTGTGTTGACCCTGTACGTCTAGTTAAAGAGTTATTGAGCAAGAGTGGCATGTAAAATGACCTACCGCTCTCTTTTTAGGGGAGGTTGTTACAGCACATACACACAACAGAGACAACATTGTTTGTGCTTTTTCTGTCTTCTTTTTCGTTCTTTAATCAGTCAGCACTGCAACGTATTAGTGTGGTGTGTCATGGCCTGAGTAATTATTTCTCCATCCTTGCTCATTTTTCCTTATTTTGCCTAAAATATTAATCCATGCTACCCGGAAAGACTACATGTGCTGTTGCCTTTTTTAACCAAGCCCCATGGTAAAAGAACAGAATCTAAAGGCTCCTCAATAATTGTACCTCAGATATTTCTACATGTAGCAAGTCAAAGACAGCTGGACAGAGTAATGCAGCATGTCCAGGTCCCTTTGATTTACTCTTTCTTGATATCTAATGACCTTGATGACTGCAAATCTTCATACATTTTACCTTATGACAATGCATTTATTTTGGTTTGGTTACTGCTCCTCAGTGTGACATGTTGGTGTGACACGTCAGATACTTAAACTGAATAATTGGTACCATTATACCGTACATTCAGAGTTAACCATGCTTTATCGTACCAAGGTTCTTGCTCCCCACGGTTGGTTTTGGCTTTCAGACACACAACACATCATTGTGCCTCTCAGCTGATTGACAGTGCCCCTCTGTGGTGTCTCTCCAGGTCCCTCTGTCTGCCAGCATGTCCCCCATCCGCCTCCACTCATCCAACCCCAACCTGTGTGCCGAGCTGGTGGACTTTCAGCCCCCTGTCTCCCGGCTGACAGAAAGTGTAGAGTGTGCCAGTGACTACATTAAACTTCAGGAGGAATTCTGCACCATCGCCCAGAAAGGTGGGCAGGCAGCATGCATGGCTGCAACACCAGGGATTATTAGGCAAAATGTGTACCAGTGTCCAGTAAATCTTAAAGGATTATTCTGGTTTGTTAAAACCTGGATCGTTTTTGTATACAGTAGTTTTACCCACTGTTTCTATTGGTTATGATCATTGTACTTATAGAGAGCTTTTCAAGATACTGCTTTACATGACAAATGAAAATAATTTAGAAAACTAAAACAAAATACAGACATAAGGAAGCACAGAATTTATGAATCGATAATAGATGTGCGTCCCACACAGTGTTTTGAGGATAATGTTTTTCCTTCGAGGATTGTGACAAAGCAACAGAGAGGAAAACATAACTTGTACAGTGTAATCGATACTCATTTTCTTTTGTCCTTTCTCGGTGCAGTCCACTCTCTGCTGAAATCTGCCTTCAACACAGTGGCCATAGAAAAAGAAAAGATCAAACAGATTCTATCTGACCAGGAGCAGTCAGACCAGTCCGCCCAGATCAACTCTCTCAGGAAGTCTCTGTCGCAGGTAATGAGCCGCCTTCAACCATTACCCATGATGCCTTTTTCTTTCTACGATTTGTTAGGATTAGTCAATCTGAGCCGTTTGTCAGACATATTTGGCTACTTCAGATTCGTAATGCTAAGGTGGGTGGGGGGGTATGGTGGTGTTTTAGCATGTAATTACCAGGAGCGATCTGCACATTACTGAGGACATTACTGATGTAATTTGAGCTATGTGTCTTTGGCGTCTTTAAACTCGAACCCATTTTGTAGTTGTCATGTTAGAAGATATTCTCATGATGACGGGCTGTCAGATGAAACACACAAGCTACGGCTTATTCCAAGCAGTCACGGTAATCACTATTAAAAAAGATGATGTGTGGAGATGAGAGCATAGGCAAGTGAGTAGTGAAAGTTCAATCATCTTTTCCCATATTAATTGGTGAGAGAGAGAGAAATGCCTTGTGCAGTTCATTAACTCTGCTCCTTAGGGCTGTCGCTCTACTCCAGTGATTTAATTGGACTGTTCCTCTGCTAACAGTTGACATCATTTTGGTGAAATGTTTCTGCTGCTTTATCTCCGCTTTGTTCCTAATTGGATGCTCGTGTGACAATGTTGTTGCAGGCCTGAGGTCACGTTTTTAAGGCAAAGCTCTGTGGAAAGTTGAAAGTCAGGAGTCCTGGTTGTTATAGCTACAGCTGCTGATTTATACTATTTTAACGTCTGCAGGGAGTGTTTTCCTTTCATTTTGATATTTTATAACCATGTACACATTTACTTAAAGTGGATATAATCAATGTTTTTATATTAAAATTGGAAGACGACTTGCATGTATAAAGGTTCGTTCACAGTGATGAACCCACAGATAATTATTGCCTGACTCTGCTGTTCCCCTCAGCTTTACTGAGAGTTTTAACGTTGTTCAGCTCATTGTTTTGGTGGTTTTTGTCGGCAGCTGTTTCCAGATGAAGCCACAGATTCCTGATGAACAGAGTGAAGCTTTTAGCAACTTAAGAGCCAGATATTTCCTTCAGGAGTGTGGAGACAAAAAAATTGATTAAAGTAGACTGAATATTGGCCTTACATTCATCAGGTGACTAGAAACACAACTCCAAATAAATAACACCTGGATATGTAAATAGGCAATTACTTTGCTAACCAGTTCGCCATATCACAGCTTCTTTCTGCTATTCCCCAACTGGCCAAACAATCAGTTGACTTTTTGATCTTAATGCAGTTTTCACATTCCCATGTTGAGAAAGCTATTGGTTGTTGCAATCATTCCTCCTGTCCAAGTGGCCGTCAAGAGATGAAGATAGAAAAGATGGCAGACAAAATCTCCAGCCCTCCATGGAATCACAAAGAGGGAAATTCATACTAAAATTAATACATATGGTAGAATTAATACATATGGTAGTACTCATTTGGCTGACCCAGACTTCTCATATTAGCTGCAGCTAACCTTTATGCATTCTTGCACAGAATGAGGACTTTTAACCCCCATCTTTTACAGTATAGTTGCTTTGGGAAAATATCTGGCAGTTGGTTTGGAGAGGAGAATTGACAGCAGCTAATAATGTGAGCGTATTAAGATAGCCTTGAAAAAGATCCAAACCAAAACTTTCTTCATTTACAGTTTAATTTAAAGTCTTTCAAACTACCTATATTTAGTGCATCAAACACTCCTATCCACCCCTGACCAACAAAAACCGAACAGCAAATTATTAACATGTTACATATTACAAATTATTAACAAACAATCCTTGCATAAAAAATAGATAAGCTACATTAATGTACTTCCACAGTCCTTATTGAGTCTTTTTCACAGTTTTATTATAGCGAATTACCTCCAGGTGTAGTGAAAAAGCCAATTCGTCCACTGGTTAAAACCAGACAGACAGACAGTTCTACAAGAGTTTTTTTGTATATTCAAAGATAGCACGAACCTATCCTTTAAATGAGGAAGTCAACAGTTGAACCTACTATTGTTTAGATATGAACATCAAACTTAATGTGGAAAATACCAAATTTTTCATTATTTAGGCCCTGTCCCAAAACGCAGAACTTCGAACCCGACTCAACCGCATCCACTCTGAATCTGTCCTGACTGAACAAGTTGTCAGTGTGAACATCATCTCCACGCCTGATGAGGTAGGTCACTGTGGTCAGTCTGTCACTGACGGAGCTAATTTCTGACTCTTACATTGATAAAACACCAAGGCTTTCAAGGCTGCCCCGGTAGTTGTAGTGTTTGCCTCCTGCGTTTGTCAATTGCATTATTGATCCCTGTCCTTGTATTGATGGTCTTTCCAGTCTGTCCTGGCAGGTAAGCTTAAATGATGATTTTTCTATGCAGAACCTGACATCAAGGTTAATGGAAAAAATGACTAATTAGAAACGGATGGGAGCTTGCCCTCTGGCAAGGATACACATGCTGCAAATGAACTTTGCTTTGTCTTGTGATCGTGTTTGTGTTTGTTCAGGTCTGTTTTGGTTCTTCAACCTGTCATCGTAGCATCATCTCGTGTGTTTGCCCGCAGGCTGGGGAACAGATGGGGATCCCTCTGACTCAGCAGGCCTCTAATGAGAGCCGACTCTCCATGTCGGAGTCTGTCTCTGAGTTCTTTGATGCCCAGGAAGTGCTTCTGTCAGCCAGCTCGTCGGAGAATGAGGTATAAAAGAGGGCAGCTGAGAAACAGCTTAAAGAAAGGACGGCGGTTTGGACCATGAGGAGCGAGAGTTGTAGAGGAAGTGGATCAAGGAGGGGGTTAAACTAGCCCTGCTGCTGGGAAGCCAGATAAAACGTCACTGTGATGGCTATGTGTGGAGCTGGAGTTAGTCAGCAATTAATGAGGGCAGCATGAAAGACAGAGATAGCATATAACGGAAACTCAAACAAAGTCTGGCACACGGGAGGGCTACTTTTCAATCTGCCCCGAGGCTTAATCCCTCAGTTGTGTCTCAGAATCATAACACTCTTCTTTGTCTTGATTTGTAGCTTCCCGCTTTGTTAAAAAGGCAGTTTGCGCCATGCCTTCTCCCCTTTTAACTCCTGTGAACACCCTGCTCCAAATATATGTGGTCTCTGAAGAGCCATAGAGCATTGTAGCTCCCCAGGCATGCATTGAACCATGTTGATGGATTACTCACCAAGGAAATGCATCAACCCCTCCATCCTCTAGCTCCATTGGCAGGCCCATTCAGACCTGTGTTACACTGTTGGCCAAATCTTCACCAGCAGCAGGCGACTGTTATAGAGGCTATTACAGCAAGTTGCTACAGTATGCTCCTCTTTGGCGCCGTCAATGGCCTCATTGTGTTTGCTATATATAAAGTATGAAAATGCTGCAGTGTCTCATCTTATGATTACTGCAGTGGGACAGATAGCCGACGACTGCTGCAGTTTGTTAGCCACTGGCAAACTGCAGCAACTGTGTGTGTGTGTGTGTGTGTGTGTGTGTGTGAGACTAAGGCCGTCTGCTGTTCTGATCATAGTTTGCGTTGTACTGTACTGCACTGACTCACTCCACTTTGTACCTGTTCCCCTTGCAGGGCTCAGACGATGAGTCATATGTCAGCGATGTGAGTGATAACATTTCTGAGGACAACGCCAGTGTGACTGATAACGTCTCCAGACAAAGTAGGTCCAGTCCTGCGCTATCATGAGCCTACGCCATGCATCCACAGTTCCTTGTTAGAAAAGAGGAAAAATGTAATAAGAGGGGATCCCACTTAGTGGATCAACCGTGCTTCCTCTACAACATCCACACACACATACACACACACATTGGTACAGTTCTTGCAAGCTCATTTATAAGTGTGGCTGAGGCACTTGACTTTGCAGGGTTGCTCTGTGCCAAGGGGCTTCTCTTAGACTTTATGAAAGCTATCTATGTGAGGAGGGATTGGATCTCCCTCCTCCATCTTTGTCACATACCACACAGCAATAGTTAGTATCATGATGATGAAAACATTCATGTTCATGTAGTTTGAAAGGCTGGAAAACTGCTAGGACTAGTATTATTGTTTCAAGGTGACTGAAATATATAAGGATGTCATAAAAAGCAATAACAGTATGTACAAAGAGAGAGATGTCATTTTAGCGTATTTGATGTTGTGAAGTCTTACCCTGCAGCTATAGAGTGACGTGTCCCAGTTAGTTGACCAAGCCAACATCAGCATACATTATACAAACTAATAAAAAAACATCAAATCCAATCAAGAAGTGCCAGTCTTGCAACAAAATAATCCAGGTCAAGCTCCTAACCCGAACTAAGACGAATGACCACATCGCACATTGAGGCTGTTTTATTGATGGCTTTTAATGCTCTTTTAAGCTCCTGGTTCTTCGCTATATTCCCGATGTTTTCTTCCTATAAGAGCCTGTATGAGGTTTTAGATTTTATTTATTCCAGAGAGTTGCACCAGGCTGATAACCGGAAGGTACCGAGTGTTCGCAGTAATTGTCCTGAGGCTCTGAAACGAGGCTGACTGAATCAAAATTAACTTTTAAATCTCTTCTTATAACAGTTTTATCGGAGAACCTATCCTGATTTTACTTGAATTCTTTCTATTTCTTTAATCTAAGTAATAAAAGTATTGGTCACTTATGTCATTCTGGTCCAGTTAATGCCTGTTTTTTAAATCTGCTGATGATTATTTTCTTGATTAACTGATTAATGGTTAATGATTAATTGGTCTATAAAATGTCAGAACTGAAAAATATCCATCAAGTTAAAGGTGACATTTTTATGTCTTCTTTAATCCAGTCAACAGTTAGAGATCTTCAGTTTACTGTCACATAAGACAAATAAAATCCTCACAGTTTAGAAGTTGGAATCAGACCATCTCTGAAAAGTGCAGATTAATCTTTAAATAAAATAGTCGCAAATTAATATTTTGTCAGTGAACTTAGCCATCAGTTGACTCATTGTTGCAGCTTCCTTGCTGTTTCATAAGCGTTTGTTGATTTTAATATGCTGCCATGTGTGAAGTCCGTTTATCCTGGTTTATTAAAACTGCTCTATAGGGTGCCCGGTTAGCTGGTAGAACTGGCAACCCATATAGGGAGTTGCTGCAGCGACCCGGGTTCGAATCTGACCTGCGTCCCCTTGCTGCGCGTCATCCTCTCTCTCTACCCACCTTTCCTATCTCTCTACAGCTGTCTATCAATAAAAGGCTGAAAAGATAACTTTAAAAAAAACTGCTCTATAAACAAAGATTATTATATAACTAAGAGCAGTGAGTGCTAGAGATAATGTTGTACAATAATATTATACTAATGAGTTGGTATTTCTCTTCCCAGTGGCCAACGGAGACTTTGCTGGCAGTGCCTTCCGTAACGGGCGGCGCACCTGCCTGTCGGCGCCGTGTCCTGACACCAGCAACATTAACCTCTGGAACATCTTGAGAAACAACATTGGCAAGGACTTGTCCAAAGTGTCCATGCCTGTGGAGCTCAATGAGCCCCTCAACACCCTGCAGCGTATGTGTGAAGAGCTGGAGTACAGCGAGCTGCTGGACAAGGCTGCTGAGACCGAGGATCCCTTTGAACGCATGGTAAAGCACCCTGTCAAATCAAATGTTCATCAGGTTACATCTAAAGAACATGCCGACTGCTGGTGCAGGAGACGATTCTGGAGTGAAACTGCGACTGACGATTCTCAAGTTGACTTTCAGACACACATTTCAAATATCTGCTGTATTTCTGTGTCTATCATACCTGTGTTTGTTTGTATAAGAGATGACATTGCCAGTCACAAAACAACATTAATTGCCTCACTCAGTCATGTCTGCGAGGCGGTAGTACGCTTCAATGCAGCTGCTGACCTTGGATCCTACTATTTTTATCTGTCTTCTGTCCTTTTGATAGCGCCCAGTGAATGCTAATGTTCTGCTTATTCATGAGAAAGCCTGCTAATGTGAAGCAGTTAATCCCCTTCTGCTTATGTTTGCTGTGTTATTTCGACTCTCGGACAGGTTCTCGTTGCTGCTTTTGCCGTCTCAGGCTACTCATCCACTTACTACAGAGCAGGAAGTAAGCCATTCAACCCGCTACTCGGAGAGACTTATGAATGTATTCGGGAAGACAAGGGCTTCTGTTTTTTCTCGGAGCAGGTAGGTCTGTGCACAGAAATGTTTTATGATATTAAAGGTCCAGCGTGTGAGATTCAGTGGCATCTAGCGGTGTAGTCGCACATTCATCCGCCCTTTAAAAGTGCAAAGGAGAATTTATGGTGGCTGCAGAATGTGAGAAAAATGCTAACGCCCCTATCTAGAGCCAGTGTTTGGTTTGTCCCCTCTGGGCTACTGTAAAAACATGCTGGACTCCATGGAAGACAACCCGCAGCGTCTGTAAATATAAAAGGCTCATTGTAAGGTAACAAAAACATAACAGTTTCTTTATTCAGAGGATTATACACTAATGAAAACATACCTATGAATATTATATTTCATTTCTTCCAACAGATCCTCCTAAATGTTACACACTGGACATTTACGTTCATTTTAAACAGAAGCATTATCTTATCTTATCTTATCTGGATATATAGACATTTTCTTCTTCTTCTTCTTCTTCTTCTTCTTCTTCTTCTTCTTCTTCTTCCTTCTATCTGAGTTAATAATAAGAAGCTCTTCTGCAGCTTATTTGTACACAGAGAGAGTAAAGTAAAACTTGTTTTGTGAACAGTAAAACAGAAAATATAAACAAACTGAGGAAACGCTATCTCATCAAGTTGCAGTGAGGAAACACAAGGCAGAATTAGAAAAAGATGAAAACTTAGGATAAGAAAAGAATATACCAAATAAAACTGGGCTTGATATACAAATACCTAAATGTAAGTAACAGATTATGATAAATATCCCAAATAAACAGTTAAAAAAAGGAAAGGTTGAAATGTATTGTCATGGAAATTCTTCTCAAAATTCAGAGCGCTAGTTCTCTGAAGAACTTCGAGCTGGTGCGATAATCAACGCACTTTATTACACGCAGCATGGAGAGAAACCACGTCATGAGTATTCTCTCTCGACTTCTAGAACGCTCCGCTTTATATACCCCTCAGTACATCATTTTCACAGTGAGCACCCCTGTTGTACTATTACTACTGTAAAATCCACATATATGGGTTTGAGGTCCCTCACAGAAAAAGTCCTGTGAGCTGACCCCATGGCTGTGACCATCTGTTGACCGGTCATCTCCTACCATAAAACTACACCCCCCTTACCCTTTATAGGCATTTTACTACCCATCCAACATTTTCATCCCCCACATGTATAAATAGAAAAAGGGGATAAAACTGATAATAATACCATAAACAGATAAATAAGTAAATAAAAAAGGCGTTTCAACATTTATTCTTGACTCTGCAGCCAACCAAATCTTCTCTTGTCGCCCATTTAGTAGCTGTTCTGGAGCTTTCCATCATATCACACTCAGCAGCTGGAGATTGCCCAGTTGTAGATGTTTAAATTTCGAATTTTTTCTAACCACGTTAAGGATTTATTGTCAATGTCAGCTTAAAAATGAATCCTCAAAGTCTTGACTTTGTAAACAGCAGTTATTTATTTTTATAATTCACTACTACTTGTCTTGTTCATGAAGGAATAACTGCAGTACTGTATTTGGTTGTCTTTGAGGGACTGTTAGAAGACAAACCAGTGCATTATGCACCACACAAATCAGGACACAAACTGGCACTGCATTTGTACCTTTTCCTCACATTCCACTGTTCAAGGGTGCACCCACTATTGTTCAGTCTGCTAATTACTTTCTTAACTAATAATTACTTGGTGGATAAAATGTCAGAAAATAGTGAAAATGTCTTTCGTTGTTTTTTCTGTTGGTCAGACAAATATTCTGTTTACTATCATATATCAAAATAGATTTATCTTATGTCGATCATCTAATAAATTTATAAGCTAAGTTTCCACAATAAAGCCACAATGTGTCCATCATGTGTCCTCTGACACTGACAGATAGATATATATGACGATGTATATATAGATATATATGATGATGTATAATTCAAACAACAGCAGCTGTCAGACTGTTTTTATTTGATCTTCTCTCAAAGGTGAGCCACCACCCTCCCATCTCCGCCTGCCACTGTGAGTCTAAGAACTTCACCTTCTGGCAAGGTAGGCTACATACCTAATTAGCGAGGAGTTCTCCTCGTGGGAACTCTGGCTTAGCAGATGAGCCTGCCAGTCTCGTTTAGTCTCTTTAATCTCCAGCTGAAATTTTACTGTTTGAAAAAAGCTTTTTTTTTTTCTTGAATTTCTTTCATTTCTGGTGCTTTTTTACTGATTTGCTTTTCAGATGTGAGATGGAAAAACAAGTTCTGGGGGAAATCGATGGAGATTTTACCAATCGGGACCGTGAATCTTATGATTCCCAGGTAATCACTACAATCAAGGTATTAAATCATCTGGTACCGATGCTGCATTCATGTCATATCAGACTTATTAGTTCTGACTAAAAGTCTGCAATGTTTATATCCCAAACAGGTATCCTTCGTATCAACCAAAGTCCGTCCATGCATGTAGTGTTATCCTGCACAGTATTTTCAACCCTCACACACACATACAACCATCTTGAGTTGTCTGCTCACGAACATGGGAATCTTTCTGATCTCTACTATTCATTCCTTATTAGATTCTCAGTAACCTACACACACTAGATCTAATATTAACTTAATATTTCAGTGACATTTTGATGTTTTTGAGTCAGCGTTTGATTAATAATTAAATTTGAAATATTACATCTAGAATTTGAGATCAGAAATGACTCATTGACCTTGACTACACATTATTTATACCCAGGGTCTCAAACTGAAATTGGCTTGGGGCCACTGCTGGTATTATTATGGTATGGTTATTTAATAGCAGGGCAACGTCACCAGTACTATAAGAAAGTGTAATATTATGTTTGCATTAATAGCACCATACAGCAGTTGCTATGCATTTTTATATCATCATTTTATATTAGCTTTGGCTAAAGGCCTGAAATCTACTGTCTTCCTATCAACTGTACGCATTTGCGGGCACCTTTGACCTTTGCACCAAACCAAATAATAGTATTAAAAATAAAATTGTGTTTTTATTTTAATTGTATATATAGGGGTAGTTATGCCAGTGTCTTACAATAAATTTGTATCTTGTCATTATGTCCTGTATAAAGACACCAAAATGTGTAACCCGTTCATGTGCTCATGTGGGCCAGATGACTCTACAAGGAGTTCCAAACCACGAATAATACCCTTGATGGGGAGGTTTGGGGGGGCGGGGGGAGTGCAACGCTATTTTTACCACACAAAATGATTTAGACAGGAATGGTGAAAATCTGGGGCTGTTGAATAAGCTGCTGGATCAAACTAGATCAAGATTTTTTCCAATTAACTTATAATAAACAAAAGACGTCATCATAGTTTACAAAAAGAATATCGTTGTACTTTTATCACTTTTTTTTCATCAGATCAAGGCAATCAGCACGCTGTTTTTGTGTATTTCTAGGTTTGGAGATCACTATGAATGGAACAAAGTCACCACCTGTGTACACAACATCCTCAGTGGACGGCGGTGGATCGAACACTACGGGGAGATCACCATCAGAAACACAAAGAGCAGCGCCTGCCTCTGCAAACTTACCTTCGTCAAGGTAAAACATCTTCAGTCATCAGTGAGAGCAGCCTCTTCACTATAACTGCATCTTAAATGTGGTAAAAGGGAAGCTAACAGTGTGGTGTTTGTGTTTCAGGGAAACTACTGGAGTTCTAATGTCAATGAGGTTCAAGGATTTGTGATGGATCAGGAGGGGAAAGTGATCCACAGGCTCTTTGGAAAATGGCACGAGGGCCTTTACTGTGGTGTCCCACCTTCTGCCAAATGCATCTGGAGGCCAGGTAGGCACTGGTTTCTTCATCAATACTCACTGCTGGACTTAAGACTGCGGTTACTCATCATTAAAGGTCCAGTAGAAGTTTTCAAGGGACTTTGGGGATAGTTCTCGGTGTAAAATTCCTGAAAACAGACAATATATTTGGATGGGGTAGGCCAACAATGTTAAAAAACAGATTTTAAGGTTTTTGTTGTGTTGTTTCCTTTCCTTGTCAGGCTCCATGCCCACAGACTATGAGCTGTACTATGGCTTCACCAGGTTCGCCATTGAACTAAATGAGCTCTGCCCCGAGTTGAAAGATGTTCTGCCCCGAACAGACGCAAGATTCAGGCCAGATCAAAGGTACAGCATCAGTTCATCAGCTGCCACCAAAAGCAAAAACATGCCACTGATTTCCCACAAATACCATCGCGACATCAGTTAATGTGCCGGTTATGTTCTAGTTGTGTGATGAATGCAGCTGGGTAAATATTTTAGTTTTATATTGCACATTGCTGTCCAGACAAACTGTATGTATTTACTGAAAAGTGACGTTTGGGTCACACAGGCATCTGGAGGAGGGGAACTTGGAGATGGCATCCTCAGAGAAGCAGCGTATTGAGGACCTGCAGAGAACCAGGAGGAAGTGGAAAGAGGAGAACGACATCAAACAGGAGCCACGCTTCTTCAAGTAAGCACAGACACCAGTAACCAGAAAACTCAGACAGAAATATGTATACACATTGTTTTCATCCAGAAGCTGTGCGTTACACATGGTTCTGTTTTTTTAGTGAAACTGGGCGCACATGTATGAGCCTGCTTTCTACTCCCACTGTCAGCCATAGATGGATGTAGACCATGTCCTGATTCATTCGTTTCCATATCAGCAGTTTCCAACAGTCTGTTATAAAACAGAATCTTCTGTTCCGTGGACACAAGTTCACAATAACAGATCACATGGTTACTTAAGTTCATATTGGCACTCATGTTAGCGAGTGTTCACCTCATATTTATTGTAACGACACAGTTCGATTGTTGCAGCAGTCAAAAAAATCACAATAAAGGATAAAATGAAAAAATCATAACCATGAAAATAAACCTACCCTCCATTGAAAATTTTACAAAAAGTGACATCAAATGAGATCATTAATCAGAATTAAGTTTATCAATATGGTTTTACATATTGGTGTTCAGGGTGCTGAGAAATCGCCCAATCAGTGAAACGTAAACTATGTTTTATTACTAGATTGCACCTTTTTTTTTATCTCCACTTCATCATATCACCCCAATTGCTCTAAAAAAATTAATACACAATTATGCATGTGGGGACCAAATTCTCGGTTAGTTTGTTATAAATAGTAGTTTATATTTAGAAAACAGTTTCTTATTTTTGCACATGCATCATTTGTAAATCTGACTCCAGGCATGTTTACCAGCCTTGATAAAAACCCACCCACTCATGCTTTTGTAGTAGAAGTAGAAGAACCGATACTTGTGTAACAAAAAGAACTGACTCAACTTTACTCAAGTGCAGGCTCTGACGTGTACACAAAGTATGAAAGTAAGATGTACCCTTCCTAAACTTCAAATAGGGTCGAGTATCCCTCTGGTCTGTTTCGATTTGTTAGGTCCTTACATCTGCCGTGTGTGATATGCACCAGCCTTGATGTTGGGAAGGCATGCAAGGATAGAAAAAGAATAATAATAATCAATATTTCCCCTCAAATGCATTAAAACTAAAATAACAAGCCTTTTTTGTAAGCAGTAGAAAGTACAGATATTTGTGTAAAAATATAGCGGCTAAAAGTAAAAAAAAAAAAAAAAAAGTAAAGTTACCTGAAAAAACAACTTAAATAAATTAACAAAGTATCTGTACTTCCCACCTCTGATCACAACTGTTACTTCTCTATCTTTTCTTCCAGGAAAGTGGTTGATGGCAATCACAGGGAGAGGTGGGTCTCAAACAACACGTACTGGGACCTCCGCAAAAATCCCGGCTTCATCAATATGGAACATACAGTGAACCTGTGGTAGCACACGGATCGACAAGTCCATCATGTGGTCATCGCAGATAAGAAGGCTGTTACCTATGCACAATGAGGTGTTAAAGAGAAACACGTTAATGATGAAACATCTGTGTGCATGGACTGCAGACTGAGGAATGGCCTGATGCCCAGCAACCCTGTCGAGGTTCTGTGGCGCTGCCACACGGTCATCCATCCATGGAAACATCCTGTAGGATCACCTTCATTGTGCTTGTCGAAGCTGGGTTGTCAGGGCAACAATCGTACCACTCCTATGTAGATCTTTCCTCGGCTCCTTTGACTTCTGAGTATGTCCTTGCCTTAAAAAGACACCCATACAAACGTTACACGATTTAGCGCTTTTTTTGTTGAGGCCATTTGATTTCTGACAGCCGTTTGGGTTAGACTAGTCTATGAAGTAGACCTTTTGATTACCTACAATACCGTGCATGTTTAGAGAGCAGCTTTCACTGGCATAAAGCCGTATTTACTATATCATCAATTATTGTAGAAAAAAAAGAGGTATTTTTATAAAATATCTTGGACTCAGAATTTAGTGAAATAGCATTATGTGAATTGGCAGATTTTATTTATTTATTTGCCTTTTAATACTGTTGAATCTGTGTGATAGCAGTACTCTCTCTCGGGAAACAGCTCATTTAAAATTAATCTCGACCGCAGCAGAGGAAGTACAGTGTCCATAGATGGAGTTTTTAAAACGAATATTTTCAAAGAGCAGCTCTCAAAGCTTGTGGTGTAGTGGAAGGAGAAGCAGGATTCAGATGAACATCCTATTCTGGTGTTTTGAACACATGATGCAAGCGCACACCTTCAACCTTTACAGATGTTTTTCTTTTTTTGAACCGTCAACAGAGATCTGTCGTGGTGTTCGTTGTGTAAATAGAGGGACAACCTCATCAACCCTCCCCTTGCCCCACTGTCTAATTTTAAACATAGTTACATGAAACCAACTCCTCTGAATCACATGGTTACATAAATACACACATAACTCCCTCCATATATAGTGGGCACACATTCACTCTTACTCTCTGAATGTGGTGCAGATAGATGTGACGTAATGGGCACGCTCAAACTCCAGACACTTATCTTAATCAAAGGTCGAAGACAAGATGGTGAAGACGGATGTAAAGATTGTAAAGCCTTCTGAGACACTTGATTTAGGTTTTATAAATAAGACTTGAGAGTGAAACAGGAGAAAAGCAGTCACACATTTCCAGTACGAGGCTAAATACTCATCTACACCCAGCCAATGTGCAATTATTTTTAGATTATCAACGATGTAATTAACAAATTATTCATTTTCTGTGATAAATAGTTCCATTTGTCCCATTACAGTTTACCAAAGGCCAACATCCTTGTTCTGACCAACAACCAAAACCTTTTAGGATATGAAACAAAGAAAATTACTCATTCGTAGACTATTACCAGCAACTGTTTGGTATTTTTCTTGCTAAATTACCTACATTAATTAATCAATAATCAATAGGAATACATTTTCTGAATCAGCATTTAGCATACAGTGAGTGCATTTTGAAAACACCAGAGCCACCTACAGGTCGTCCCATGAAAATGCAGTTTCAGGATACTGAAGGTCAACAACATGAAGAACAGAATCTGCTCTTTTTGTTCCTGAGACGTTAAAGCCAAACAAGTTTGTCCAGCAACAAATTATACAAGAATAAAAATGTCTGATTCCCCAGAGACTTTACTACTATGATCTTCTGCAAAGCACCAGTTACTCATTTGCAGTTTGTGTGTTTAAAGCAAAGCAGATTAGCTTTAATGTTTCAACTAGTTGTCCCCCTTTTGTGTTACAGAGTAAGAAAATATAACACGGGGCGTGTGATCAACCCCAACACACACAAAGTAGTCACACATTGTCCTCGTTGATGCCCCTCGTTCGGGACTGCAGGGCGAGGACACTGGAGGAGAAAAAGAGTGAATATAAATATGTAGAGTGAAGACTATGAGAAGCAAATCCATTGTGTGCACTGTTCATATGGTACTGTAGATGACAAACCAAAAAGGTAGTACTGCTTTGCATCCATTTCTTTTTTTTTTTCTCTTTTAATTTTAACCCCAGATTACAAACTAAAATGCTACAACTCGTCAGCGTCAGTTTCACTTGCTGTGCCTTAATGCATTTATTAATGCCTCACAAACACTACTGATAAGAATCCCCATGCCAAGAAGGTATGCCATTAACAAGTCCGCACATTATCCAGTCTCCACCTGCCTACAGATGATAAATTATATTGATAGTTAGCGTTTAGGATTTAGCTGTGGACAAAATGTCTTGGCTTAAGTTTTAAAAAGGGACATGTCTTTGACATTAGGAGAGAGAGAAAAAAAGGTTTATTTGACTGTAAAATGCTTGCAGTGTTAAAGTATGTTCTGCACTGCTCTGCTACTCCGACATGTAACCAATACATTTTTGGTGATCACTGTAAATACAGCACATTTAGAAGATGGGTCACTACTGCAAAAGCTGACCCCTCCCCCCCCCCGCCTACATCAGTGATTTCTTGTAACAAGCCCGAATGACAGCAGCTGTGTGAGGAGGTAGGGGGCGATGCTTTGCATAGGGATTGGTATCACTGAGTCAGACTGTAGTGAAGAAAATAAAAAATCATGAAAACCTCCTCATGCTTTCTTCATCCATCCATTGTTCTACCTGCATGTCTAGACAACTTAGCCTGCCAATGAATGTTGCAGATGCCTTACAAAAAAAAGGGTTTTATGTTTTCTCAATTGGACTCTCATGTGTTTTTGTTTTGGACTGACATGTATCACGAAGCACTGTGTCAGCTCAGTTTCTTTCAAATCTATTTCCCAATGGGTACCTTCTAAAGTGCAATTTAAACAAAGTACATATCTTTCCATGAACACTGTACACTGCTGCTACATAGTGCTTGTTCTAATAAAACTGTAAAACTCAACTGATCAGTGTGTGGTTTATATGTAAAAAGACCATAAAAGTCCTTCACCGTTGTCCACGTGAGGTTTCATTGCAAGGTTTCCCAGAGAGTCTTTTTTGCCATTAAGAGGCTTTAATTGGGGATTTTCAAAAATAGTTGTTTTTGATTAAGTACTATCAAAATAGTTGCTGATTATTTTTCTGTTCATCTACTAACCGATTAATCAAGTTATTGATTCAGCTCTAAACAAAAAAAAAACTTCCCATAACACAAACTAACTCCTATTGTATAAATGATTAAAGTCGGCCTCCACTCAAACATGTGTTTTGCCTATTGTTGCTTCTCGTGGATGTTTTACCTTCACTGTGGTGGTTAGACGTTTTTAAATCATCTGCTGAAGGGGGAAAGTTTCTCTATGCACACCTTAAATTCAGAGGTTATGCATATAATCAGTGTTCCCTGAGGGAGAGAAACAAGTATGGGGACTGCATTCTTGCAAGACCACCCTGGAGACCCTCGCAGGCAGGGCTACAAAAGACCCTGCAGGGCCTCTCCTCCTCAATCTAAACTGCATTTCACTGAGTTGGAAAGGCATTTACCTCCATCAGGGAACACTACTTATATGCAAGACCCCAAGTATCCCCACTCAGTACAACACATCAGTGTGGAGATACAGCCTCACGTCCCGAAACAGCTGCAGATAGACAATCGACCCTGGCACAGCTGTAATAGTGAGGTTCGCTGTGGAACTGACCTCCTCCATGGAAACATATTTACAAAGAGCCCAAGACGGCGCCATGACCGTGGCGCAATTAGCATGCACCTCACTGGGCATCTGACACGATGATACATCAGTGCTGTATTCATAACTTGTTTCAGTCATTGTAAGCTTAACACTTAAGCAGCTAGATTACAGAGCTGTCAACACTGTTAACCAACTACGCAGCTGTTTGAATGTTATGATTATTTTTGATTGACGTGAATGTAACAACATAATAAATGTGGGCTAAATTGTTCAGCTTTTCTATTGAAAACTAGTAGACTTTAAAGTTGACTTATTTCCTCTGACTCTTTAAAACAACTTCACCAACAAAAATCTGCATTATTTTATCTGCTTCTATTAAAAAATGTGTGATTATGCTCAGTACAAATGTATCTTGTCTAATATAATTGTAGACCACAAATAAAGGCCTGTAGTTAATTTATAGAAAATGAACTTGATTTAAACTGAAGTCATGATATTAGTCAGAAAAACCTAAATTATAAATCGTTCAGCCCTAATTTCTGAGACTTCATTGTAAAACCTCAGCTTTATGAATAATTGAAATTACAGACTTTCTTCGAGTCTATTTTATAAATCCTATTGTATCGTCATCATGTGCTTTCTTGTCTCTGTCTCGCTATTAAACCACACAAATCAAGAGTGAATGAACCAGAGCGCAGGGCCCTGATGTAATTGCCTTTGTGCTAATACAGAAGGACGTGCAGCTTCATAAATTGATGGCTGTCAAGTGGTCAGCTCCCACGAGATATTGTTTCATTCAATAACACTACAACGGGGGCTCCTGGAAGCAGCGCGGCAATCTGTTCTCCCAGTGCTGTCGATCGTATGAGCATCAACAGAAACCAACAATCATCGACATTTAGTGTTTATTTTATGGATTCATACACGTTGTTGCTGCTCTTCACCAGGCTTCTGGGTTTTTTTTCTTACAGGTTTATTAAATATATCACATGGTACTATGAGGCACACACTGCAAAAACTGGTAAGAAACCAGCAGAATGCAAATATAAACACATTATATCTATTTTGAGTCAGCCGGATATAGACAGCAGGTGTTGAACTGCAGATTGCATACTGACTGAGTGGAAGTAAGACAAAAAAAATAAATAGTCAAAATAATCTTTTTCAATTCATTTGCAGGTGACCTTCGTTCACAGAAAGGCAGGTAAGTAAATTAAAAGTTTAAGATCTTCTATTGGCTGTGAACAAAACACAGCTGAATATATTTCTGCATGTGGAATAAAAAATTAAATTAAACGTAACGTAAAAACATCTGAATCCTGGTTAAAAAAAAAAAACATTTTCCACTAAAGCGACAGAAAAAAATGTGGACGAATAAAGCAGTGACTGCTCAAACTATGCATGTAAAAAGTTCATAAGGAAGTGCTTCATATTCACACGTACATTTGCTTAAATATGTTGATCATCTCAAGTAAAACATGATGGTACATCCTAAAGACACTATTTAGAATTTGATTCTTAACAGAGAGGTTGGCCTCCTTCACAAATACTGCTCTAAAGTTGCCTTGAGATACTGTGGAGCATGATCTGCTTTGTGATATACTTAATTATAAAAATATACCTTGACCTCATATCGTCCACGGGAAGGAAGACTAGTGGGAAGAACAATCTACAGCTTCATCATGACTGATATATGTGACAACAGAGGTGAAGCAAATGTTGACTGTGGTGGTTTTACTTGATGGAGGCCATGATCTTGATGTACTGGAGGGCGCTGTGTGCTGCGTCGTTGTGAGCGTTGCTACATGAAATGCCCGTGCCGTGGCACACGGTAACCGGGGAGGTGGACAGCTCTGCCAGGCACTGGTACTGGCCATTCACCGTCAGCTCATCTGCAAAATACAGACACGCGCTTTACAGCATGACACGACGACCAAAAATCAATAGTGTAGTGATTCCTTTGGGTGCTTTCCATTCAGCTAACTATGCTTCCTCCCATCCTCCAGCCTGTAAACCAGAAATGGATCGAGAGCTGTCATTATTGAGGATGTTCAGTCCTTTAAACTATAAATCACTAGTTTTCATTAAATATATTAATATTCAGTAATTATCCCTCTGTATAGAAGATATCATTGTTAGTGGCGGAGTCCGCCATTCCTAAGCTGGATTCAAATTTTCTACCTATGCAGGAAACGATTCAGCACATAATCCAGCATTACTGTTTGTAATTTTGTCTCATTGATCAGCCTCAGGGTTCACTCTCCCACAGCTGCATCACAGCTGTAATAAGTTACTGCTTATGTAATCCAAACATTTCCTACTGCAGCCAAAAAGGGCAATAGGAAATTCAATTTATTTATCAAGGCGATCGTACATCAAACGTGTCCATAAAACAAGACAACCATAATTTATTTATTTTTTTATCTGCAGCGAGCCATAAAAACACTCTACAACAAAACAGCTTCTTTTCAAGTGCATCTTGGGTAATTAAGGACAGCACTGAAAAGGACAGACTTATTGAACCTGCAGCCTTTTCAAAACAAATACTAGATATTATTTAGAGCATTTAATGCTTATTTATTACTTCCTCAAGTCTGTTTTGTTTCTTCATTAATATACTAATTTAAATTGTCTACTGGTATTTTTCCAAGTGAGGGAAGCGAGGCTTGTTAGCTGAATGGAAAGCCTGTATCTTAGCAACTAGTGTAGTGTGTGTTTTCTTACCAATGTCGAAGTATGTGACCTCAAAGCCCTGCTCCTTGGACAGCTCCAACATCATCTGAATGTAATCTGTGTTGGGAATGCTCAGCGGGTTTCTTCTCAGTAAAGAGATGCTCTCCGCTGATGAGTTCCTTAAGTTCTCAAATCGGACACTTGGTTTAGGAGTCTGAAAAATCAAAAACAATTGAACGTAACACATAAAAACTCAAATTAAGTCAAGTGTTACAGCTGCCTCAAGTGGTCACTTGGCAAGGGCCAGAAATATTTGACGTACCCATGTGATTTCTGAACAGCCTGACAGACTTTGAAGCTTCGCCACCATTTTCTCTGCAGCTGCCTTTTTTGCTGCCTTTTTTGAATTTCCTACAGCTGTTGAAACATAAAGGCAGAAATTAACAGAGTGAACAACACTGCAGTCACAAGATTTTACACAGACGTCTCAAAAAACACCCCATACCCTTCTCTGACAGGGACTCCATTCGACAGGTAACAGTGAATTCTCTCTTGTGTGGCGGACCAGCCTCCATTAAAACTGTGTATTCAGGAAGACGCCATCCTCTCTGCAACGCTAACTCCTGAGATTAAAGGCCAGATGAGAAAAAATAATGAGGACAGGGAAAAACAGTGTTAGTATTTTTTGAGAATACTTATTGTGCCTTTAATTCAGGACATGACACTTTAAATTAAAAGTGGACACAACTTTTAATCTCTGGAAATAAATTACATTTATCAAGCTTTCCCTACTTATGGTTCATCTCTTTTAATCACATTTGACAGACACTTGCTCATATATAACCACAGACAAGACATATGCACACACACACACAACAAAAACAAAAACAACACAGCCGTAATTCACACACCTGCAGTATCCCCACTGAGTTGGGGTGGTTGTTTGTTTCTGCTACAACACCGTTACTCTCAGACTTCACAGGAACAGTCCTGTTGAGAATTCACATGAAAGCAGTTACCACAGCTGCAACAGATCAACACTCACTACAGGCTGTCTGTGAACCAGTTTAATGTGTGTATTGCAACACTGCATTGCTAAAACGGCTGAAGGGTAAATAGCAACAAATCTGGCGATTATCTCGTGAAAATACCATTATAATTTAACAATTATAGCACACGCTGATATTTTCTAATTATTAGTTTTGTCCAACCAAAAAACCAAAAGCCAAATAAATTAAATTTACTATCATAAAAGACAGATTTCCACATTTGAGAACACAACAGCAGTATTAAAAAAAATGACTTAAATGTTTATAACAATTGTTGCCAGTTAATTTTATCTCAATAATAATTATTCAGCTCTACTCACACTGTTCCAGGGTCTATCTGCAGAATATTCAGGGCAGCCTCTGCAGCCAGGTGTTTAGCAGCCTTTTTACTGGGACCTTGACCTGAAACAAAATACAACCACACGCGCACACACACACACACACACACACACACACACACACACACACACACATACACACACACACACACACACACACACACACACACACACACACACACACACATACATACATACATACACAACGTTACAGATTAAATAATGCATTACAAAGATTATTTTACAGTCAGATGAAAGCAAAAAACACCATAACCACAAATCAGTCATCATAAATATGCCTGTTTTAAAGCCCACAAGGTGTTTTGTAGTGAAGAAAGTAAAGATTAACTCAGGAGGCTACTGGAAAGGATGTTTGAAGATATAGGGACTGAATTATTTCTCATCACCTCAACACTGAGAGCTTTGCAAATGCTTCTCATCCTCTTCTCTGGACCTGCACTGTTCTATCCCTGAAGTTAGAGATACCTTGGTTAAAAACAATACAAGGCATATAGAGGATATATAGTGTAGTATACTGCAGCAACAGACACAACTGACAACAAAGCAAAAGTGACAAATGTTACGTTGCACGTTGGAGTGCTCTTTCTGAATTACCATACGTATGATTTTCTACTCAAATGCAAGGCTTCATCCGGTGACAGGCAGCTATCAACACAGCAGGGGTGGGACTGGAACGTACCTGTGCAGCTAACGTCTCCGATTTTCACGCTGAAGACGAAGCTGGGCTGGTGAGCCTCTCCTTCCGCTTTCTCCATCACATACACAGGGAGGTCGCCACTCTTGGTGCCATACTCGTGCAGGATTTGTATAGGCGTCTTCCCGGGGCTGGACCTCTGTGATTCATGTGCATTCAGGCTGCGTGTATTAAAACAAGCACACAGTTTACCAGGACCACATTAACTGGGCTGTTGCCATTAGAGGACTGCAGTGGCTGAGCTACTAAGAGCAGAACCACTTTACAGGAAAAAATACTGCAGAATTAAACTGATACATCAACCCTTGTATTTTTATTTAGATGCCAAATAATTTTTTTTTTTAAATCAGATATCAGCAGCATATTCACATATTAATATATAAACCATCAACATGAGTGTTTCTGCTTTTTATAAGGGAATTTAAAAGTTACTGAGGTTATGGTCTGTGGCCGCAGTGTTTTTAGATCCTTTTGATAAAGATAAGACAGTGATGGCCTCATTAAGTAGCTCCATATTGAGCCTCAATGACAATGAGAGCCACAGATTGCCTGTGATATTACAACCTAATGTCACAATACAGTAGACATTTTTTAAACTACAATACAGTCTTATACGCAGTACAACCTGAACAAAAGCTACAGCCTCAAAGATAACCAGAGTCGGGGAGAGAGTTGGCATCCCACGTGTCAAGCTGAGTCGTTGCTGCAGCTTTTTTAATTTAAAAAAAGGCAATAAAAGCCCTCCCAAAAATATAAAAAAATAAATCATAAATTGCCAGTTGAGTCTATTTCTTTCTGACAGCCTCAACAAAAAAATATTACAAACGGCAGTATTATTTATTGTAGGACTGTTACTGTACAGACTCACTATAGAGTACAGACAGTGTAAGATGTCTAGATAGCAGATCTTCTATTTTTAAGTCCAGTCTCAATGTTTTTCCACTTTCACTCTTTTGACACATGAATTCAAAAACAAAACACTGAATGTACTGTAGCACCAAGTACTTTCTTCTGTCCGTAAAACAAAATCCTGTTTAAGCTCATCTGATTTGAACTCAAATATATGAAAGACTTTTATTTGCTTTTATTAATGTGCAACAACCGTTCAATTTCATTAAACTGCATCTGAAATGTGAGCCTCTCACTTTACTAACCACAGTAATGCCTCAGCCCCAGCTCTCCTGCACTTGCACATTATCGCTGAGCACACACAATAAAGCTGATGTTAACGGAGCTCTGTTTGAGGACAATGGGGCTTTTTACTATGTAGTAAAGCCATTATTTTGACAGATATTGTGATGGTTCCCAATTACTGTGAGAATGATCAATTTTGCATCACAACTTTAGTTTTTAAAGAAAAAAAACTACTAAAATCACGATGATGTGTGTACATTACAGTACATTGTGTGTGAAATGTTTGGGAGGTCTGTACCAAACAATCATGTTTTCTTAAATCTGGAGAACAGGATCAGTAGACCAGGGACCTCTGCAGCAGCACTAGATATAACTAATCAATACAAATCAAAGCAACACAATATTAAAGAAACAAATCATGCTATTATGCTCAAGGGTTGGACTTACTGAAATACAAACACATATAGAGTTTTTGGTGCCTTACAATGGGGGAGGGGAATCCATACAGACAATAAAAATGACATTAAATACACTTTAGTACAGTTTTGGGGTTAAAAGAAAATCTAAAGCAGGTTGGCAAAGTAAAATAAATCATATTAGCCATCTTTCCGGCAACATATGTGTCTTTTAAATCATCAGATATGCGTCTTTTTCTTCTTTATTCAAACTATTTGTCCGTCCATAATGTTTTACTGTTCACTGTTGCTAAGACAATTGCACTGTTGCTAGATGACGCACCTTAGCCAACCTTTGCTAGCTGTGACGTTTTAATGCCATTTCGCTCTCCTGCTTTATCCGGATCTTTATTTTTTACATAAACTACACATTTAAATAATTGTTCTGCACGCTTAAACTTTACAATCACCTGTAACGTTACGACTCCAATGCACAAGGAGGCTTGACCATCAGAGATAAAAACACTGTGCGTTAGCCAGCGGAGCTAATGACGAGAAACCGCTAGCTCTACAACGTTAGAGGGTTAAACATTGACAGGATATATATATATATTTATATATTTAATATATTCACACTGAGCTTCTTTGGGATTGATTAACTGTACTTGAGAGAAACTTTGCAGCCTTTTTGTCTTAAACTACATTTTATATATCCCAACACTGAACGCTAGGCTAGCTGTTAGCAACCAGAAGCTGTTTATATTATTATTATTATTATTATTATATTAACATGTTACAGCGTTATATACAGCGGGTTAAAGCAGTAACACAAATAAACCAACCTCGTGTCTGCGGTGGTTTTCACTGCTGGTGATTGATATCCCTCTTGAGACATGATCAGTTTTCTGTCGCTGGCGGGCTGATTGATTATCGATTATCGATCTATTGCGGGTAAATGAACGAGATTTTTTTTTCTTTTTCGGGCATCTAGTTACGTTATCATGAAGAATATGAAGTGGCCTTAAAAAAAAATAAAAATGCTAACAACTCTTCATTGAAGTGCTGGCCGGGGAAATTACCGAGTTCAATATCATATCAACATCCGGGTCAGCAGCGGGTCAACAGAGGCCGGTGTGTGGAGCTCAAATGTTTACCGCCCCCTGCTGGCGCTGCAGCGCCACTGTCTGCTCCGTAGTTAGAGCTGGGCAGGCTTTATTCAGTATTCAGATCCTTTACTTAAGTAAAAGTACTCATGCACATTCAGTGGTTTGTTCATTTTTATTTTTTTTATATACATTTATTGAGAGGACAGCTTAAGATAGATTCAAGCCTATGGCTGCTGCAGCAAGGACTCAACCCGGGGGGTGACCCGATGGTAACACCCATCGACATATATAAAATGTTTTCTATTGAAGTCACAGTGAGAGCAGCACAATTCAGAGGCTGAAAACAAATTCATCTTCTATTGATGGCTACTCAATTAATCCACAATTGTGTTTTTGCTTAAATATTTGTGGCATTATGGTCAGTCACTTAAAACCATTGCACTGAAGACTTACAGATGTAATAAAGGTTGAAGAACAGGCATCTAAATTAGAAAATATTTTCACAATAACTGTGTATAAAAAAATATTGTTTCATTGATTAAAAAAAAATTCTGTGCTTGAGCCGCTTCAAAGATTTAATTTGTTTTATGTATTCGGGGGAGTTCACTGAGAGTAATGCTCATTTTTTTAAGAACACCCTGATGACATTCACACTCTGAAGCGGCCCAGCACAACCAGTCTGAACTGCTGACCACCAGAGCTGTTAGCGTTGAGGGTCTCTACGGTCTTCATCAGCGAATGGAGCTGGCTCTGGTGTTGTTACACAGCAGATTTAACATTGTAAACAGCGAATGTGAAACAAAACGCTTGTGTCTCAGGGATCATCTGATTTGTGCATATTATTGCGGTCTGTGTCACAGGTTGGGAGGAGGGTGACTGGGGTCCGGAAAGACCACTTTCTTCGTGAGTGTGAAGGCTGGTTGAGGCATCTGCTTTTTCATTCCAGTGGAATCAGTCTTCCGACTAACATCTGCATTCACCTTTGTCAGGATAGACACAAGATCACAACCCCTGTGGGGAAAAAAACAAAACGTACTGAGAGATAGTGATATAAAAAACAACCAAAACCACTTATACTTATTCTCACACACATAACAGAGCAGTAACTAAAATTAGAGGTGTGTTATTGCTATTTTTATTTAATTAAAAACAGCAATAACACATAATAACAATACTCCATTACATTCATTTAAGTATATTATGGAATTATGAGCAACAAAATGTACTATCAAAAGTAAATGTACTCAATATGCGTAATGGCTCTGTCTGTGTATATTTTACTACTGAATTATTATTATTTAAGTATTAATATGTAAGTGTTACTTTCATTTAGTAGGTCAAGGTGGAGCTAATATGAACAGTTTAAAATCCTGTCGGGTATTTAAATTATAAACATGCTTCATATTTTATAAAATAATCATGTTTTGTATGTAAAATCTGAGAAGTAGCTGTCAAATGAATGAAGTAAAGTACAATATTGCCCTCCAAAATGTAGTGGAGTAAAAGTATAAACTAGCATATACAGCAATACCCACAAAACTGTGGTTAAATATGGTACTTGATACTTATATGTAAAGAATCACATCATCCAACAGTACTTGATCTTTAGTTTTACTAACCTGGGCACCATCTGGACAAGGTTTTGGCACAATGACTGAATAAACCAGGTGCCATTTTTCCTCTCTCTGAAAGAGACAAAAGCAGGAACGGTGGCCATTCCCAGCAGGAAATCTGCATCAGATGGGATGGACTCTCTAGTTTCAATTGCATCACAACAGACATGAGTGCGTGCAGGGCCATCGGACTCGATGTAGACGGCCTTCTGCTCGTTGTTTCCCTGACAGGCCTGGATGAAAAACAGCTTCGGTTTTTCTGCCAAAGAGGAGCAATTCACTCCATTGACAGCATCCATCAGCTTCCTAATTTCGACGAGGTTGCCGTCCACGCCGTACACACCACCCTCCTGGCCGTGGCTGAGAAAGCAACAAACCAGACAGTCCATCTGACCGTGGTTTCTGCGGCCGACCTCCTTCATCACGGACAGCATCTCCTCGCCCGGACAGTCCTTCTGTATCTGTATCTCAAAGCCAAGCCACCTAAACACTTTTTGCAGACACTCTAGAAGGCAGACAGATACATGTAAACACATTTTAACACCCAGCAACATACATAAAACGAGTTTTCATTTGAGATTTAAGACTGAGTTAAACATAAGCGTACCTTCATCAATGTTGGTCCCCTCCCGCTTTTGGAGATTTTTAGCTCCAGAGAAGTCGTAGTTGTTTACTATCAAGCAGATACCTCTCTTTGCTGAAGTCATTGGATATGTTCCCAAATCCTACAGAGATAAATCAGTGACACAGATTAGATTATTAAAGGCAAGACAGGACCATGTTTAAACAATAGTTCATATCAGCACATTCTGGGCTACTTTACTACTTAAGCATACACCGATCAGCCATAACATTATGACCACTGACTGGCAAAGTGAATAACACTGATTATCTGGTTATCAATGCACCTGTCAGTGGGTGGGATATATCTGGCAGCAAGTGAACATTTTGTCCTCAAAATTGATGTGTGAGAAGCAGAAAAAATGGGCAGCGTGAGGATTTGAGAAATTTGACAAGGGCCAAATTGTGATGGCTAGACGACTGGGTCAGAGCATCTTTAAAACGGTCCAAGGCTCACTGATGTACGTGGGGAGCGAAGGCTGGCCCGTGTGGTCCGATCCAACAGACAAGCTACTGTAGCTCAAACTGCTAAAAAAAGTTAACGCTGGTTCTTATAGAAAGGTGTCAGGTAGGTTATTGGTACTGAGCTGCATAACATTATGACCACCAGGGTGCCCAGGTGGTCACAATGTTGTGGTTGATCGGTGTATTTACTTGTATTGCTAAGAAATAATAAATCACACACCTCAGTGTTTGTGTTGGCAGTCTGAGACAGCACTTTTACAGAGGAGGTCTCGTTTTCTTGAGAAAACATCTCTATGGGACAGACAATAGAGTGGAAGGACAACATTTTTGGAAAAAGATGAAGAGACAAAAATGATATCTGAATAATTAACATGTATAATACTAAAGATGTGTCATTTCATCACTCAACCTTGGTGTCCTTTCGAGGAGGCAGAGCTGCTTGTTTCAGTGCTTAAACCACTCATCCCAAATGACATGGCCTCGCTTTCAACTCTACCTCTCAACTCTCTTGCAAAATCTACAAAAATGATATGAGAGGATTCAGAATAATATCCATCCACCGCACCTCACTTAAAAACAGGTCTAGTTGTACACAACCAGCCGACTCACCCATAGAGATGTTGGAAGAATTGATGCTGGACTGTGTGGGACACAGAGGAAATGACCATTAAAGACACAAAGAAGAAGCACAATTTATTTGATATAAAACCGTGTTTCAGTGACAGATTCTCACCAAGGGCAACGGCTGAAATCCTTCAGAGAAAAAGGAAAAGGTAATTAGGACTATAATTCTCAACAAAATGGTTAAAAATGCAACATACCGTTATGTTTACATGTGAATCAATGTAGCATTTTTAATTAGACATGTTTTAGAGTAGGAAAATATGATATCTCAAAATTGTACTTAAGTACAGTATTTGAGTAAATGTACTTAGTTACATACATATCAGTCGATCCCTGGTTAATTAACTTAATTATTTTGGATGAAGATTTAGAGACAGATTTAGAGACAGAAATGTAATTATATACAGTATATTTACCTGGTATTTCATTTGAGAAAGTCCTGTCACGAGATTTAGGGACCTGATAAAGAACCGAGAAAAATAGACAATAATATCATAGTATAAATCTTTCACTGCAACTCAGAGGGAGTCAAAGCACATACCTGCTCTAGTACACTAGGGTAAGTCACAGATCTTGGTCGGCCTGTTTCTTGAGCTATAGGGTTGCTGCGAAGTCCTGTAGTAAGAAATGATAAAAAATGTAAATCACTAGATTTACAGACAGATTAATCAGCAAATATTAAAATTAAATGAAAGTGACATAAAGAAAGAACACAAACATGTTTAGGATTACACTTCTGTTTAAGGTTAAGGTTAAGGTCGGGGTCATGGTTAGGAATATACTGGCTACTGTTAAGACTCGAGGGAACTAATGATGACTTCAATGACTTCTTGGACTACTGTTTCCTGTGCTGCTGTCCTTACCTGTAACTGCTCTTCCTGCTTCAACATTCCTCCCTCTGCTGTAACAAGAGTCAGTTATGCAGCAGTAATATGTGTAACAGAGTCACACATTAGTAATATATAGTATTATAATTACACAGTAGTTATAACCTGACATGCTAAACCTCCAGAGTCAGCATGTGGAACGTTTGAGGCCCTAAAGTTTGTGTACTCCTACTTTCACTTTCGGGGGTCTCCATCTAAATGATGTCTTCCGTCTTTACCTTTTCCCCTTTTACTATTATATTCTGTGAGAGAGGTAGACGACACTGTAGTCGAACAGATTTCTGTGTTTTAGCCTCTCTTAATTTACGTTCATAAGTTTACTTGCTAGTTTAAAGTTGTTGTGAATTATGTTAACATATTCCTGTGTCATTTAATTTGTGGAGGAGCTATTGACCGGATGATTTTGTTATTTACCTCCTTTGTCAGGTATGTTTTCTGTGTTTTAATGCACTGAATGCAACATAATGTGTCTCCCTTTAGCTACTGGGAGAGGAGCTCAAGTTACATGATCTCTTTTATCAGAATAAATGGCGTTTGGCTCCACAGATATCCTGGTCTGGATCTTCCAATCAAAATACAACCCACACAATGTTGTGACACCAGTGCTGTTAATTCAGAAGTAAACTCTTTGAAAGTGAACCTGCTGTCTTGGTGTCTGCTTTTGTCTCTTCATTCCTTAAGCTTACCCTGTTGTGCTTTAAACCGGTTGATCTTTTCTATCAACATCGGACAAACTTGCTGAATTAGGGTCCTCAGTAAGTCTAGATCAGTGTCGCTGATGAGGTCCATGTGCTCCATCTCCAGGAAAACCTCTAGTGTCGTCTGAAAAGTTAATTTTACTGTAAGGTGATATGATACATACTTTATGGCAGAAGCAGAATTCAAATTTAGGTGTACATCAGGGGTACATTTTTTATATATATTTTAATATGTAATATATTATGTTTTAGTACTACTTATAAAATATAATTTGTATGTTTATGACTTTGGCTGTTTGCCATCTAACTGGATTTAAAACATTGACACTCTGAAGATGCACTCACAACATTTTCCTCCAGTTTTTTACGTGGGAGCTGTTTGTTTAACAAGAACTTCATATCTTTCAAGTCATCATCAGTCAGCTCCTCAGACAGGTTGTAGAGCAGCTTCCTGAAATTACAGAAAAATAATAAAAAGTAAGTAAAACTGTATTTGCTTCAGTCACTGAGCTCAACCTGCCTCTATTTGGGACAGGCGTCTATGGGACAGGCCTTTAATTCCTTTTGCACAAAAGTCTTGCTCAGAAAACTGTTTATTTTATCCAGTATGAATGTTGTAAAAATTAGGCTATCGAATAACATATCAATTACGGACATATAATGACGTGTAGCATACTGACAAACAGCTTGAACATTTATATTTGTGTAGGCGATCTAAGCTGCTTAGACCTCACTCAAGTTGGGCAACCCAGTGGGCTTTAAGAGGTTTTATTCATCCAAAGAACTTCCAGAATCCAGACCAGGTGTCTAATTAAGAACTGCATTTATTTCACAAACCGTGCAGGCACATCAGGCTAGTAAAGGAGACCTCTGTCTACTTGGGGCCCTGCTTTGAATATAAGTTTTACGGTATTTAATAAAGACGCACCACTTTCAGTTGAATTTTGTAGTTAAAAAGCAATATATCTCACCGCGTTCCTGTTGTCGGGATCCAACGTCCCAAATATTTGCTGCTTTTCATAGTCTTTTACATCGTTAAAGATGTCAACTCGGACTGTGGGAAATTGTGATGGCCATTTTTCACTATTTTCTGACAACACACACGCACACCAAAACCCTGACATTTTCAGCTCAATCTGCAGAGTCATTAGTTGTAGGCCTTTATGGCTTTGTTTGGGTGATAAGACAGCGAGAGAGAAGCGGATGTTTTAAGCCAAAAATAATACTAAATTGAGAGAATGAATTAAGTAATCTTTGTCCACACATTAAATCGAGAGAGTGATTATTTTTCCTCAGTGACACCTCCAGGACTCCGTAGAGTCCATACATGCTTGATCAATTTCATAAGTTTAATTCAGTGCTGCATATCATATTGGTGCACCACTATTTTGCAATGTATTTTTTAAAGTTTTTTGGTGAACTAAATCCTGCTAAAGTATTTGCTTAAACCAGTAAGAGGTAGGCAGCCCACCTGTAAGGAGAGATGATTGTTGTAGATACTTGGTCAGGGAACCCCAGCTCACGGAGCAGACGCCTGCGTTGGATGATGAGGAGAAGCTCGATCAGCAGGTGTGGTCTCTCAGCAGAGAGGTAGTCTTGATCCGCCAGACGAGAGAAGAGGTCACTGGCCGAATCCACTGAAGTCGGGTTTCGTACCAGGAGGTCAGTGCAAAGAAATGCCAAAGCCTTTACTTCGCCCTTAGACAGGGCCTTCCCTGCCTCTAATAGCAGCTTCTGGAAATCCATTTTGTAGACTAAAAATGAGACACAAGATGGATTCACTCAGGTTTCTCTGTTACGAAACTTTAGACTCGACAAAATCAAAAAAGACTTGTAACTCGACTTCACTTGGATTTATTCTGTTGTGTGTTGCACTGTTTTAACAAATAAATACACATTTTAAAAAGCATTCATGATTTGTGTGGCATTACATTATGACTTGTTTACAACTTGAAACTCCAAGTTTAAGACTTGGAACTTACTTGTTTACCCCACCTCTGCTTAATATATGTGGTATGTGGTTTTTGTTCTTTCCTTTACTGGCTTTGTGCTTTGTGTCTGGTTGGCACGTCTGCCAGAAAACCTAATAAAAAAGTAAATACCAAAAATATGTACATGGTGGTACGTCATGCCGGCTGTTCCTTTCTCATTTATTGACCTTTACTCCCACATTGATGTGGTGAAATTGTCCAAAGATGACATTGTTAATAAAACTGAATACTATTCTGGACGAGCTTTTGTGATTTTTTTTTTTTTTTTTTTTAGGCCTTTGTATAACAACAACAACAACAAACATGTAGCCAATCTGTCTGCTGTAAGTGCTGCACTGGCCTTTAGGTTTGGTAACTGTGTGTATGTACGAGTGTGTGTGTGTGTGTGTGTGTGTGTGTGTGTGAGAGAGAGAGAGAGAGAGAGAGAGAGAGAGAGAAAACTCAAGTTCAGAAGTTACAAAGGGAAAAATAAAACTGTTAGAGCTTCTAGGAAAACAAATGTAACGAGAGAATAACATAATCTACAGCCTAAACTATCACATCATCATATAAACGCGTGCATATAACTTTGATTTGATTGGATTTGCTGCGCTGTGTTACCTGTGTGGTGTTTTCAGCAGGTCTGACTCAGCAGAATATGCGACATCCCCTTCATAATCGAAGTATTGGCGATTGTAGACAATAATATGAATCTTTTTTTATCGCGCACACCAACTTCGCGTCAGTCCAGTTCTTCACAACAAGTCAGATGATAGGAAGTAGAAATCGAAAGTAAAAGACGGCCGAGAACGAGCGCGTAACTCTACGTCACGTTACACTGGAGACGTCCACCTTGGTGACGCATATGCCCTTATTTGGATATGAAAACAGGAAGTGGGAGTGAGTCCTGGCCGGGCAGAAACCAGACATACCCGTTTAGATTTCCCGTAGACATAAAGTCAAAATCATGATGTCAAGATTAACTATTAGACTAGGTCTAACTATGTAGGCTCTGCATGCAAACAGTGGATTCTTTATGTTCAAGTTCAGCTCTCACTTTTATTAATGTGATCACTAAAAGTGCTGTATATGAATGGATATATGTGATATACTGCACAGAACTGCTCCATTCAATCCCAATAATGTCATTGTTCATCATTGGACACTTTATTCATGATAAATGATGAATTGTATGCTGCCTGCTGACAAATTTCACGTTGTTGCTGTTCTTTGAATAAGACTCTCGATGTTTCACAACCACTAGTTAGAATTAACACTGTCTCCATTTTACCCAGAAGTTCTTTCCAAGAAATGATTGTGACATTTATTATGAGTTTACAGACTGTCTAGCTGTAATGTAAGTAAAAGAATAGTATTTGGTCTGTCAGCCATATCTGACCTAGACAGAAACACATTGTCCATAACGCCCCGATTTAGGTCTCACCAGCTATTCCCAGTGTGCTCAGATTTAGTGTTATATTTTGGGATAGTTGCTGACTGATGCATTTGGATAGTCAAGGATATACAACTTGCAGCCATACATGAATTTATTATACTTAAAATGAACAAATAGACAAACTGTTATTGTGACATGAATCATCTATTGTCCATACATCATGGGGACATATCACATAGGGACATATGATAGCAAAAAACAAAACGTAAGAGCACATCAAACATAGTTCAAAGTTTAATAACCATTTGTTTTAAACTGCAGTGTGTTATCACTCTCAGCTGACATTATTATCACCATATCAAGGTAGACATTAATGGTGTCAGAGGCCTCCACACTGTCCGTAACTTCCCTTATCAGGGAACCTTGTTGTGTGTACTAATAAGTAAGTATGTCGATTTGATTCTTTCAGTGGGAAAGAAACTATTGATAAAAGCTGTCAATGTGTAAATAATATTGATTATTTGTGGTAGTGTGTGTTTGATTTAGGTTTGGTCTTCAGGGTCTTGATGTGTCCTCTGCGTCTTACTCTGACACTGAGCCACGCCCGGGAGTTTATTCCTGAGCTGTTAAATCTGAAGGACTCTGGAAAGGACACACACACACACACACACACACACACACACACACACACACACACACACACACAAGCTGAGCATGGTACAACATTTATGACACAACAAAACAAATCTTATACAGAAACCTGAGTAAAATTCATGCATTCAAATTTTCACTTAAGCAAAATTCCAAAAGTATTGGCTTCAAAATATACAAAAAGTATCAAAAGTAAACATGCTCATTATGCAGATTTGCCTATTTCATGCACATCACTTTAATGTTTATACACTTTATCTGCTGAGTAACTTGTCAGTTCCCCCCCAGGGATCAAAACTGTTTTATATTAACCAATAATATTACATCATAATATATTTGTTGATGATATTTTGTATTATAAATCTGAACCTTTTACTTGTACCGAAAGGTATTAAATGAATATAGTGGAGTATAGGAAACAATATTTGTCTCTGAGTTTTAGTGTAGTTGAAGTACAAAGTAGCAGAAAATGGAAATACTCAAGTAAAGAACAAGAACAAGAACAAAACTGTTCTTTACTGTCCACCACTGGTCTGAATGAATGAAAGTGAATTGGTCATTGCAGGTTACCTGACAGGTGAGTGAAGAGCCGGTACTTTTGAAACCCCTTGCCTTTGCAGTGTTTGTTACAACAGAATAAGATTTTACAATGTGTGAGCAGAAAACACATAATTGAAAATGTTGCCATGGTTGAACTTAATTAGAGACTTTGTGCAAAAATACATGTTATGAAAGAAAAAATATATTTTAGTATTCAGTATTTTTGTATTTTGACGTCTGGATATTGAGAAAGTTTAATTATTGAATGGTGCGTTCTCTTGCAATTTTTCTTCAGGAGCTTTTAGAAAACATTAAAATCAGATTTCTTTGTTAGTTGTATGAGACGTTGTATTAAAAGACTCAAGATTTCAAACCAGGGTTTTAAATTTTAGTTGTGGATTTGCCCTTTTTTACACGTGAATCACAAATTGCCCCATAAAACTTTTAGATAACATGAAAAAATTACTTATTGTGCCATCAAAGACTTTACTTAAGTAAAGCTGCAATACCAGAAGTATTATCAGTATTCTGATTATGTAGCAGAATGACTCCTGTATGTGTGTATTTATATCATATGACTTGAATATAATTTCTGTCTGGTCAAGCATTAGTTAATTTTGACTACTTTATATTCTGTTGAGTAGTTCAATCTGAAGCAATGCCTCATACTTTATACGTAAAATCGTATTATTCAAGTGAAGTACAACTTAGTACATCAAGGTTGTTTTGAAACAGAGTTAATAATATGATGACCAAACATATTGTAACCAATTTTAGGAATATAAAAGTGAATTACAGTATAACAATGAGTTTGACTAGTAATAAGACCACGGCCAGAATCAGAAGACACCAAATTCGTTAGGAGCCAATACGTTGAGCAGCAATAATGAATCAGACAGAGGAATAACTGTTGAGTAGTCAATCTTATATTTTTACATTGAATAAGAGAAATGTTCAATTTATACAAAATTATAAACAATGACCCAAATGACCAGAAAACAAAACGTGTGCACACTAAAAATAAGAAGAATGTCCGTTGGGGCCCTTCAAACTGAAAATTGTGGCAGGTGCACCTGATATTAAATGTTTATGGGAATGTAGTGTGAATGCGTGTGAGTGTGTACGTGTGTATCTCCTTGTCGGTGTCTTTTCTTCAAAGGTTTTGGCTCGCCATCTGACACAATCAGGATAACGTCCTGGTCCTCGAATCTTCCCGTCCTCTCAAAAAACCTGACCTACAAACAAGGTCATATCTATTATACTCTCATTCTCAGATGCATCCTTAAAGGTTTAAATGTCATAATGCTACACATGGCATCAACCTCATACATGTATCTTAAATCTTAATAAATCTCAAATCTTCCGTTTTCAGTTGCACAACATTAAACATTCAAAGATATCAAAGTTCAATTATGAGAACTAAATATTTAAGAACTCACATGTGTTACTGTTCATATTAACAGTGTTTCCATAAGGCTCACGGTAAGTAACCATTAATATTCAAAATATATCATATCCAGATCAAACCAGGATAACATAACATGTAATTAAAATAAAAGTAAATACACATACTGAGTTGCTTTCAGAGGTATCAAAGAAGTGTGCTTAATTACTCCTTATACACTATAGGCCTACTAGTGTGAGAGAAACTGCACCAAAAATTACCCTCCTAGTGACTTTAAACTCACAATTGAAATAAAATAAATTCCTTCAATATCCTTCCAAAATAAAATGTAACTTCACTCTCATATGACTTATCAAATTACTTATTTTAAATTGGCAATAACAAAATAAACAACTTCCCTTTTATATACATTGGCATAAAATAATAGATACAATATACATGTTCAAAACACTGCATCATTACTCCCCTCAATTCACTCCCACAACATTAGCACCGCCACCGCTTTTGTTAGCACACTGCGAAACAGAAAAATACCCCCAGAGCAGCTAAGAGGGACACGTTTCTCACCGTTGCTCTCTGTTTCAAAGCGGAGCACGTCGATGTCGGGGCGCTTGCAGTGGCTCACAAGATGAAAGCTAACTGGTTAGCCGACGTAACTCGTCTCCTTCGTTCAGTCACTTGGCTCCGGACTCCCAGTAGATAAGTGCACTGGTCCTATCTTTCTCCTATCACAGTTTAACTCCGAGTTTTTCTCCTTTTATTCCGTCCTTTTAGCAGGTAGCTGCCCTCCTCCCTTGCGGCTGAGATCCAAGAGACCCGGAAAACAACGCGCCTGCACTTCACCTCTGAACTAACAGGCTGAACGTGGCCTGCGTAGCCCCTGATTGGCTGTTGAGGGCTAGGTACCCCCACGTGGGGTTGCGTGAATTGAGTGATGCATTCAAATAGAATAGGACATTTAAAACTTTGCCAATGTAAACAAATAAAAAAATAAATAAATACTCTCTTCCAAGTGCATGCTTTTTCCACCTGGGCTACAATATACAATAATATTAATATTTAGAAAATTAGACAGCAATAATATGAGTATTAAAATATATGAGCTATAGTCCCACATTAAGATGAATGTAACTAAGTTTTTTGCACTAAAACATATGAAGAGCTTATCAAATATGATATTTTCATATAAATTAACAGTACAAATATAGAGGAAATTATTTGTCGATTGACAGAAAATTAACTGGCAACTATTTTGATCATGTGAGTCATTTTCACAACAAACACTGTGAAGGCATTTCTCTCTATTATCACAATTTTTACAAACCAAATCAATAAAAATAAAAAGGAGAACATAGTCCATAATGAAAATATCAATTATTTACAGTCCTGTACAAGATAGTTAGTAAAATGAGCTCCACTTCAACCAGATAACAGTAAAATCCTGCTTTTAATGCATGAGGAATAATAATCTAGTTATATAATATTTATAATAGTAACAGTCATTTTTCTGCATTGAGTTCTTTTAATACTTTAAAATCCTTATTTTCATATTTGTACTTAAATAACATTTTTAAAGCAGGATTATTTGACAGTGCTGTATAAGTACTACTTTTGAACACTTCCCCCCACCACAGCTGCTGTCTGACAGATGTGTGTGTACGTGTGTGTGTGTGTGTGTGTGTGTGTGTGTGTGTGTGTGTGTGTGTGTGTGTGTGTGTGTGTGTGTGTTGGACACTTACGGTCAGTAATGAGGGAGTGTACAGCGGTGATGTGTCTCCTCCCCAGGCCGTGACTCCTGGACAGCACGCAGTCCAGATACAGGTCCCAGAAGAGCCGGGCCAGGTCCCAGAAGAGCGCCGTGTGTTTACTGTTGTCTGACGACCTGAGGAACATCATCACGTCCCAGAAGGCGGGCACGGTGTCAGCGATCCTGGGGGAGCGCATCTCCAGCAGCAGAGCCGAGGAGGAGTCCCAGCACTGGGGGTTCGCCCGGTGGGCCGTAAGGGGGTCCACGTGACCCGGCTTCTGGCCCTGCAGCGGGACGGCACACACGCAGCTCAACACAAACACCGTGACTGTAGGTATGTTCAGGAGCACCGGGGCCATCTGCACAGGACACAGCACAGGACAGCTCTATCTGCTACAGCGTCCATTCAGAGCTCAAACAACACACATTTATCTTACAACAAAAACAGGTCTAAACATTTGAATTACTGGTTAATAATTAGGCCTACAATCAACAGTGTTAACAATAATCAAATGCAAATATCAAATAGGATTAAATATAAACACTGATATAAACATAGCAGTTTACTTCTCAATGAATAAATGTACTTACCACTAAAGCTGGGCCGACTAACAAGACTATATAGTGTTGATTGGAGTTTGGTATCTGTTGGGTCCTAATTGACGTCAGTGCCTCCCTCCTTTGCAAGCAGCGTTAGGCTTGCTTGTCACGTTTATTAATGTAGTTTGTTGCATTATTTTCCGATTATTGATGGGTCAGTTTGCATCCCTGCACACTGTGCAAAAGGGTGCAACATCTGGAGGAATGTTCAACTTGAAAGGGTACCAAATATTATTATTAAATGACTCTTGACTGGTTATTCCTGTTTAGTGAACATGTGTTGTAAAAGAAAGGTTAGTTCTGCTCACACTGATCAATCTGGTGATCAAGAGAAAAGCCACTGGATCTTCTGACTTTGATAAATGATCAATATGTATCCTTTATCTCCTGTGGGAGTTTCCTACATCATTCTGACCAAAAATAAGGACATTTGAATAAAAGGATTTGTTAGTTCTGCCCTGTACAGATTAGGATCCTCTTAAGAGAACCTGTAATTTAGCTGCTTATGCTCTGACCATATGATTTGTCCACTTGATTGAAGGACAGGTTCCAACTTTTCAAATCCATCATTACATCTGTAACAGTAGTGCAAGTACTGCAACTAATGATTATTTTTCTAATTAATTTTCATTATTAGTGTGCTGATTACTTTTTCAATTAATCAATTAGCCTAATAGTTTGTTCTATAAGAGAGAAAATCATGAAAAAACGTAAGCAATCTGACCTCAGAAACTTGGGAGGTTCTGATTTCTGTAAAAACAAGCTCAGTCATGAAAGGTGCCTCAGAGAGTGGTGCATGAGTTACGTTTCAATGCTTTTACCGAAATGTCACATGCATACCTGATCTCGAACATAATTACTCTCGCAGTGAGAGGCCAACACTAAATGTACTGGATGGGTTTTCTTACTCAGTCGTTCATGTTTATGATGATGCAAGGAAGCCGACTTTGCGACAGTTTCCACTGCAAGGCCTTAATTATAACTTTTAAATGAATACCATTTTTCATTTCCTTATTCAAACACAAAATATAGGCCTACTGTCAGGATGCTTCTAGACAGGAAGAGAGGCTGGAACGTACAAATTATTATTATTAAATGAGAATTATTGTTTAGTGTGCATGTGCTACGAAGGGGGAGCATGTCTAGAAGAAGATTTGTTTTTTCTCCACACACTGATCATCTAGGTCCGAAAGGATCGGCGACCAAGCTGGGTACCTGTAGCCTACCCCAGGGTACAGTTGTCAGGGGATACGTGGAAAGATGGTGAAGTAGCTCAAGTAGGCCAACTTGAAGAAATATAAAATTACAATTTGATTGAAAAACTAAATATATTTACATATTGAGTTAACGTCTGAACAATATGTTGTAATCTAGACGGAGTGAAAATAAGCACGCAAGCACTAAAACTACTGGATAAACTGTTCAAATAGTTAGATAAAAATAAGGATTAAAAGATCAGTGTGTCGGATTTAGTGGCATGTAGTGGTGATGTTTCAGATTGTAACTAACTGAACATCGCAGGCGTCTGTATTGGACAACCTTGGAATGAGAGAGGACTGTGAAACGTGTTAGAGAAACTATGGTGGCTGTGAAACTGACAAAAAAATGCAAAAATGTAGACTACTGCAGAAACATGGCTGCTCAATATGCCGGAGTCCATGGAAGGTGACCCGCGGCGTCTGTAGATAAAACAGCTCATTCTAAGGTAACAAAAACACAACGATTCCTATGTTCAGGTGATTATACTCTAATGAAAACATACCTATGAATATCATATTGGATTTCTGCCACCAGATCCTCCCCTACCTTCAAATTACACCTCAGAGAGAGCGGTTTGTGGGGTTTCAAAATAAAAGCCCCAAAAATAATCCATGCAAATGTGCATTGGTGTGTGTCACTTTCACCTTAGTGAGGGGATGTTTCCCAGCTCACACAGCTGCTCAACTGCTCTTCCACATCCAGTAAGACCCTGGTTAACTGTGTCGCTGTAGAAGGATATCAATGCACAGCTGTACAGGACAAACATACATATATTCTGACTTTATCCTACAGTTCCAGTATTAAATGTTAAAATAAAGCTGCATTTGTCAGGATTTCAGGTGTTATGCTGAGCTCAAGTACACCTTTAAATTCAGGGGTGCAGATCCGATGTCCGATTGGGGGGGGACACAAAAGTGATGGCTGTATGCAACTCATACCATGCCACCATAAATCACAACTTCGTAGAGGCTCACCATATCATTCAAAAAGTACTGCACAGGGAATCATTTATTGTGCTTACCTTGATTGAGGGGGTCGTTTTTTAAAAGCCTGCTGATGTCATCAGCGTCTGTGTAAGAAACTACCCATTCATTTGCATTGTAGTGGAGGAGACCAGAGATGGAATGTGGAATCAGAAATATATTTGTCAAACATTATTTGTTCCATCATTTAAATAATTTATTTTTAGATGTGAATCTAAAATGTGAAGAATGTGAAGTCTGAAAATACATTTGTTCAATTTTGAATAATTTAGGGTATTTTTATTGGGGGGGACAATTTATGTTTTTCAGAAAATTGGGGGGGACCCCCGTCCCCCCCGGGATCTGCACCCATGTTTAAATTAAACAGAATTGCAGGTTAATTAGAGCAATAAACAGCTAATTTGACTGCCTCTTAGCGAAGTGAATGGATGTGAAACAGTTTTGATTCAAGTGTTTCGACAGCGGTTATTTGTTATTCAGAAATAACCACTGAAGTTCGGAATAGTGAGTGATTATGTGTACCAAAGCTTTGAAGCTCAAAAACACTTTTTAAGGATTTTAAATGAGCGAAAATTTTTAACTCCAGTTCACTGGTGGATGTTATTTCAACGTGTGCACTCGGCTACTACGGATGTTCTACCAGTCTGTAGTGGCCAGTGTTATCTTCTTTGTTGTGGTTTGCTGGGGAGGAGGCATTGGGACTTATGGTGCCAACAAGCTGAGCAAGCTGGTGAGGAAGGCCAGCTCGGTTGTGGGGATGGAGCTGGACAGTGTGGAGGCTGTGACTGAGAAGAGGATAAGAGGGAAGCTGAAAGCCATCATGGACAACCCCTCTCATCGTCTCTACACTGAGCTGAGGCAGCTCAGGAGCACTTTCAACTACAGACTGACCCAGCCACGAGCCTCAAAGTGGTTTGGAGGCTCGTTTGTACCATCAGCCGTCAGACTCCACAACGCCACGGCACCCAGTATCTCCCACCCCCGCTGACTAAGACTGGTTTTTAATTCAACCAAACTTATATTATTTATCTTAAATTGCACATGTACAGTTTAGTGTTTTGGTCAAACTGCTTAAAATATTATATTTTGTAATATTCTTATCTGTGATAAGATTGTACTTGTACACTGAACTCTTTTTTGCACTATATTTCCCAATTATGCTGTGTGTAACTTGAATTTCTCTTACCGGGATTAATAAAGGTATATCTTATCTTAAAAAGATCAGGTTAATTAGAGCTAAACTTCAGTTTTAATCAAGTTGAAACTCATTAAATGCTTCATGAATGCATTCATTTAGCCCTTGCTTTGCTTTTT